AATAATTTAGTAAGTGCTATGTTTGGTTATTCAGCAAGGATTAAAAAGCATGTGGTTCACTTCAATCAACAGTATTAATTTTCGATAATTTCATAATAATGTAATATTAATTTAATTATTTTGAGTTTAATTTATTTTGCAGAATCTCATTGTTGTATTGAATTCTTAAATAAGTATTTATAATTTAAAAGTTTTTTTATGGAGTTCTTATACTTTTAAAAATATTTAAATCAGACTATATTCATTAACAACTATTAACTTTTATTAAATTACAGAGACTTGTTTAAAAACAAAATAAATTATAAAGATCTTGTCTATTGGACTGTGTTATAAATTCATATAACTTTAAATTTAATTTTTAAAGAACCTTATATTTTAACATAAATTATTGAAAACTCAATAATAATTAATGATTAATGACTTAATTTATTTCTAAAAAGAAATATAAAAAAATACCGATAGAAAAGTCTGAATTATAATATAATTATAAAAACCTACAGAATAATATAACATTAATTTGAATTCAACATTTATAACATGTGAATTCTGTATGATTATTATAATACTGTACATATAGAGATAATTCCATTAACTGAATAGAAGCATCGAGGACATAATGAAAATGATTATGTGAAGCTGTGGCTAGCTACAATCCACTCGTTAAGATTATCATATGAGTTGAAGATAATATTTTGATAAGATGAAGCTCAACTAATACGTGCGCATGTTTTGATGAAATTTCTACCTTATATAATCGTACGCTCCCTCTGCCATGCGTTTATCCAATTTCAATGGCTGTGGGAATTCCAAGTCACTCCCCTTCTGATGATAAGGTAATGCCAAATATTAAATGTCAGTCTATCACATGAGTAGGTCCTTCAAATAACTTTCTTTGGAGTTATTGTACAAAAATATAAACAAATCAATTAATCCGAGATTCTATAAACATGTGATTAAGGATTAAAGTAACAATTTGTATGTTTCAAAAAAAAAAAGAGAGTAAAAATTTGTACCAAATTAAATTGAACCGAATTTTTTTTATCTGAATTTAACAAGTGAGTAAAGATAATTACCTCCATGATTAGAGTAAAAGTAACATTATCTAATGATTTACGTGACAATATATATAAGAAATATTTGTGTGTGTACTTGGAAAATTGTGCGGATAAAATATTTTCTTCAATTTCATGTGTTAAATAATAAACTCCTGGATATTTAAAAAAATAAAAAAAATAAAAAAATAAATATCTCTTCGAAAATATTTAAATTCCGATTTAGAATATCTCAGTTAGAAAAGGACACTGGACTCTGAAACACAAACAAAAAAGGGCAGCGCAGCATTCATTCCTCTCCGCGATTCTATTACATGAGACGGAAGGAAAGTGATTTCATACACCAGTTTGTTTGTCACTATTTCTAATATGAATGTTTTTTGAAAAAAATAAATATGATTATACGTGTTAGAATTTTTTTTTTATTTTATTACCTAAAAAATATAAAAAGAATAGAAAAGAATAGTTTATAAATATCTTTATCCTAGAAGAAAACATTGAAATTCTATTTCTACCTATCAACGCGAACATTTTATTAATGTCATGGTTTATAACTCAAGGTATTGACATCTTGGTTTTCATCAATAAAAGGGTTAATTCAAGATACTTGTGAGCTTGGTTTATCAGTTGTATATGTTTTTTGTAAGATAGTGAAGAGTTGTGGAAAAAACGGAGATTTTGAATTGTTGTAATAAGCGCAACGTAGGATGGTTGTGAGCCGCAGATGGAATGCGAAAGATACCAAAAAGGTTGGGATCATTGATCCTAAAAAAGAACACATCCAAAAGCCCACCTCTTTCCTTGATACACGTGAAAAACTGAGGAACAGGTAACCCATAAAGGAATGCCACGTAAGTCCTTGAAATCTCAGACATCCAATCAAATCGCGCCATGTCGCCAGATAAGGAGTCTTTTACATAAGCCCAAAAAAGCTTCTGCATGAGGTATGGGATGGAAAAAATCCTGTGGCTTCATCCATTCTTAGCCTGATTTTTTTTTTTACTCATTTACTAAACTGCCCAAGTTCAAGCATTAAAAACACGCCATTGATATCACAAATATGAAATGAACATCATTAAAAAGTTTTATCACATATAATGACACACACGAAAAAGAAAAAAGAAATCACTTATATCCTTTTTTTGAATACATCAATTGATGATATTTTGAAGGGAAAAATATTTTTGCAGTTATCTGTATTTATTCTCACAATGACGTCATTGTTGTATTAAAATTTTAAAAAATTATAAATATAAAGACTATTATAACCCTGAAATAAATTAACATTATAAAAATATCATGATTTCTGCCTCAAAACGACATCGTATTGGGCTTACTGCAGATAATTTATCTGCAGTAACTACAGAAAAAACGAACTCTATTTTTAATATTCATGAAAAATATCATTTTGATAGATAATTTTGTAACGAATACCCACAACAAATAAATGATAGCAAATGCCATTAATATTAATTACGTGTGTAAATGATTGTGTGGGGCTGGGCTTTGGCCCAAATAAATTATTTTTTTAAGAATATTTTGAGTCTTACTAGTCTATTAGTTTATTATAAATTAAATTATATGTTTGATCTGACCTATTTTTAAATATTGAAAATACCAGGCCTACTAAATTTATTATAATTTAAATTATAATATATCAAATATAAATTGTTTAAAAAATTAAAACACAAAAGCAAACTGAAAAATCAATTATAATTGTCAATTAATCTCTTTAACATATTTTGAAGTTAAGGAAAGATAATTTATCTATGTAAATTTGAGTACTCAACTTAAAATATCGTAGAGAGCAAATACATTCTCATCACGTAATACTAAAATTCTAACATAAACCGTAGTTGTGGATGCACTTGATATCAGGCCCAGACATTTATTGCCAATTGGATCAATGATAACATAACCTACAATTACAGGCAATATATCAAATAAAAATCATATCCAAAAATATAATTTATAGAACCATTTATAAATATAGTCAGACGAGGCAGAAAAAATATCAACAAGAAGGATGTCATGCAGAAGAAATGAGTACAAAAAAAATATTATTTTATTTTAAAATACTACATAGGTCAACTTTAACTCTTTAAGACTTTGTGTCAAACTTGTAAAAATAAGCACCTCACCTGACCTGTTTGTTAAATAATTTGTTTTATAATCCTAATATACTTTATTGAAATTAATTAATTTTATCTTCTATCCACATATAAATATATGGAAAGTTCATATTTTTTTTTTCTCTTTCTTTTTTTAACATGACTCTATATAGACACTATACACTGTTATATATATATAAAAGATAAAATTATTTTCTATATTAAGAGGAACATTAATCCCTATTTTATCTTACTATTTAGACAAAATTAGGCGTGACCTAAAATTGGTGGACCTACAAAACCCATGTATAGAACCTGACTGATTTACACTCTTAATATTAATAATTTATTTGTGAATTATGAGAGCCACAACAATATGATGCAAATACTAATAACAAAATAAAGGCCGGCTCAACGAGTTAATTGCATAACTTCTCTCTCCACGAATTCATTACTGTGTTCCATCATCTAAGTTTGCATGACAGGCACAAAATCTAAGACATGCTATTTTTACTGGAGGTGTTCGCGGTCTGGATTAAATTGATTTTGGAAGTAAAAATTATCTGATCCAATTCCTTCAGTTTGATCATCTATTCGGTTTGGATTTTTTTTCAAATCCGATCCGATCCAATCCAATTTTTTTCGGTTTGAATTGGATCGGTTTTCGATTTTTGAATATCCTAAAATTTATTTCATGATTATTGTGCAAATAACATCTTTTGTATATATTGGCTTTGTAATTTTTTTTTTGAAATACAAAAGCATTAGTGAACTATAATATATTTTTTTTTTGGACAATAAGATATGAAGTTCTACAAAGATAAAATTTTGTTGATGAGATGTGATTAAATTTTTTTCTTGAATTTTAGTTGATGGGTTAATGGGTCTTGAGTTTAAAATTTTTTGGGCTATGATTGAAGAAAGACCCAAGTAGGTAGAGAGAAATTAATATATTTGATCGGTTTGGATTTGATCGATTTTCATCAACCCATCTAAAAACCGATCAAATCCACTTAAAATTTGCGATTTTTTTCTCGATTTTCTGTTTTTCGGTTTTCGGTTTATTCGATTTTCGGTTTATTCGATTTTCGGTTTTTTGATTCGCTTACCGCGGTTTGGATCGGTTGATGAACATCTCTAATTTTTAGGCAAAAGCAAAAAAAAAAAAAATCAAACTCACAAAGCAGCAAGCTCAATGAGTTAAAACACAAGGGTTAACATGTACCCAAAAAAAAAAAAAACACAAGGGTTGACGTAGTGGTGTGCGTGTGTATAATAGGATGTGTGTAATTGTGTTCGACTACAAAGAATCGATATTTTAAAAACCTTAATTGCATCGTATTTGACACTTTGTGACACTCGCTGATATTTTGATATTTTTTTGACACTCCAACATATATTGCTGAGACTTAAAAAAATTCAAAAATTATATTGTATAATATTTTTAATTTTAACTATTAGATTCGTTAGATTACGATTATAATTTTATTGAGGTTAATATAAATATTTAGGATATCTTATATTTTTTTATAAAATTAATTGGTATTATAAGTTTAATTTTATTTTTTTGTTAAATTATTAAATATTAAATATAACATAATAAAATCTAATTTTTTTTTTAAATTAATATTATTAAATATCGTATCGTGTTGTATTCGGTAGTATCAACGTAAGTGTTTGATTCCTGTAACTCAAAAAAAAAAAAAAAAAACTCAAAGAGGTAGAAGGATATTATAGTAAAATAACAAGTTAAAATAATTGAAGAGGTAAAAGAGGAACTGAGAAAACTACTAGAGCTTTGTGCGAATGGTCCCACATTCGGCACAGCAGAGAAAGCGAGCACTGTCTCTTCCTTCGTTCTCATCTCCTCCACTCCACTCCCCTCCCCTCCCACTGTAAGCGTGACTCTCAAATACCTCTCTCTCTCTCTCTCTCTCTTCGAGCAAGTGACAAAGTCGGTGGACTTGCCAATTGCCTATATGTACTGACACCCCAACGGGTCTTTCTTTCCCTTTTATCTGCTTCCCCTCGTGACCCTCTCTCTCTTTCTGCATCTCAGTTACTGAATTTAATACCACTCAGCTTTCCGAATCTTCAAATTCCTCCATTGGCCAACTTTTCTTTATCCACAGTACTTAGTATTTATTCGATAATAACAATTTCTATTTCTTTTTTTTGGGTCTTTTGGAATGCTGCGTTTATAGAGTTATGCTTTATTTAGACTCTAGACTTTTTCGCTGAATTGATACAATCAATGGGAAGTCGCAGAACTTTTTCATGATTCTGGTGTGTTCTTCTTCCTATTATAGTCCTTAAGCTCTTGGCTTTTTCTTCATTTCTTTTGTATTTTCTCTTTTTAAAAAAATAAAAAAAGCAACAACTTTTGTTGCTTTACTTTTTGGGTTTAGGGTTTTGTTATTTTGTACCTTTTCTCTACATAGCCCTTCTTTTCCTTGCCATTCTCAGTTAAGAAAAACAGAAAGCAGCATATGTTAAACTCCAAATCTATTCAATTCTTTCAGCTTCTAGAACTTCATTCGTCAACAAATTTGGATATATAATATATATTATTGGAATCTACAAATGTCTTCTTGTTTAAGTGGAGCTGGTGGAAGAACTTACGGGTTCGATTTCGAATTTGTTAAATCACCATCTTCTTCAACTCGAACTTCACATACATCATCTTCTCCATCCTCAACAATCTCTGAATCCAGCAACTCCCCATTAGCAATCTCCACAAGAAAACCCAGAACCCCTCGAAAGCGACCCAACCAAACCTACAATGAAGCTGCGGCACTCCTTTCCACTGCATACCCAAACCTGTTCTCCACCAAGAACCTCAAAACAACGGGAAAATTCACCAAACAAGTAACGGATTTGTACGATTCCTCAGAACTGCTGTTGCCTTTCAGGGTGTTTGACACCTCATGCTCCTCTTTCCTTCTCCATCAACACAAACCCAGTTTCCCATTGGAGCCCAAAGTATTGAACCTGCAAGAGAAGCCATGCCAAAGCCCGGGGGAGATAAGCTCGAGGTTGGTGAATTCACTTGATTTGGACGATGATTGCCAAGAAGATTTCGATGCGGAATCGATTCTCGACGAGGAAATCGAGGAGGGGATTGATAGTATCATGGGGAGATTGGATTCCAATGGCGCCTCTTCTCATGATGACCATCCATGGATGGGTTTTGGCGGGAAATTCGGGTTGCAGAGAACGGCGGTTAGAGCTTTCCGTCACGTCGATGACGGCAACTGGTGGAATTTCCCGGCCGTTGATATCCTTCAAATCTCACCCAAAATCAGCAACAATCCTCCTCCTCCTCCTCCTCCGCCGCCTGCGGCGGAGAAGAAGAAGACGAAGAAGAAGAAGGTGGAGAAACCAAACGTGGTGGAGTTGAAGAACGCGGAATTGCCGAAATCGAACCCGGGTTTGCTGTTGAAATTGAATTACGACGAGGTTCGGAATGCTTGGTCTGACCGGGGGTCACCGTTCGCCGACGACAGCCCCGCCTCCGACGCACCGGGAAATGACGTCACTGTACGTTTCTCATCTCCCTCCGACCTATCAAAATTCAATAACTATTTTTATTTTTTATTTTTTATTTTACTTTGTTGAAACCTTGACCCCTTCAATGCAGTGTTTTTGGACTCGGTTGAAACCTTAATCCCACACTAAAGTCAAAAAATTGTGTTTGGTTGAAGGGATTATTGTGGGATTAAAATAAGGAAAAAAAATATGTGTGAATTTAAATAACACAATTTGATATTATTTTAAGTGAAATTAACTCGTTTTGCTGGATTTTTACTTTTAAAAAAAAAATATCACATTTTAATTTAAAATGACATACAGTTTTCGCTTCAAATAACAATAACAACAACAACGTGTTCTTATTTTATTTTATTTTTATCTCTCAACTAAACAGAGTTCGGCTTCACTCTCTGGTTGGCAATTTTTTTTTTTTTTTTTTGATACACTTTGGTTGGCATTTTAATCACGTGGAGTATGGGAATCACACATTTTGAAACCGAAATAGTAAAGTATTTCGTGCATGTCATGGCCCATTCCTCTTTACTTTACTTTTCAAGATAATTTTTTAAACAAACATTCTCTTACAATATTTAATGTTTTTCAACTTTGGTGCGTTAGCCCATAAAAGGTTAAAAGTAAAAACATCTTTGTGGTCTGCTACCATTTTCAGCCCTTTCTTTATATGAACTAAAAACGTCACATAAAAAACTACACAATCTTTGTTTATTATGACTTTTATGTTCATTTTTATTTGTTGTCTTGCATTAGGAAAATTTGTTTTTGGGTGCAAAATTATGAGACATTTTCCCCCTTTTTTTGGTTCACGGTATGAGATTATTCAAAAATCATTTTGTCACAGTTTAATAATAGATAGTGTGCATGGTATGAGGGTGTGGTGCAGAAGCACTGAATAGTTTACAATTTCTTTTTTGCTATTGTGGGGGGGCAGGCGCGGCTGTCGCAAATCGATTTGTTGTGGGATAACGGAGGGATGAGAGAAGCTAGCATGCTGCGCTACAAAGAAAAGCGGCGTACACGCCTCTTCTCCAAGAAGATCAGGTACCAGGTCAGGAAAGTCAACGCTGATCGACGGCCCAGAATGAAGGTACGACTCAGTTGAGGACACTTGAAGAAATTTGATTTATGTCAAGGAAAAAAATAAAAAAGGAAAATCTGCTTTATGATATGGTGATGATAATTCATAATTGGATAATGAGGTGCGTTACATTTTCTTTTTGTTATGGAGAGTGGACCCCATTAAGGTGGTTGGTGGTTGTTCACTTTGTCCAACTTTTGAGGATCCATCTTGTTCTTGTTTGGTTTAGCTTTTCATTTTTTCCTTTGTTAGGTTTTCCTTTCTTTCTTTCTTTTTTAATTTAATTAACAAGTGCTAACGCATGTTCTGGACTTTTGATCATTATCAATATATTCTCTTGAGATTCTTTCCTGATTATATTGCTCTTTAATTTTTTTTTTAAAACATGTTGTTATGTCTATATTCTTGTATCGCCTAATAAACCACATAATCTTACATCAGAAAATCTTGCCCCACTGTTTTCCTCATTGGATATTATTTCTAATGTAATGATCGTTAGACAAAGCAGCCTCGATTGGATTAGTGTGGAGAATTTTTTTTTAAAATAATGAAGGAAGAAAGTGTCTTAAATTTGACATTGTATGGAAAATTCCATATCAAGCTTTAAAGTAACTTAAAAGTACGAAAGAGGAAAGATAAAAAAGATGAAAATTACAATCAATAAGATAGCTTATTCGTTTTTTTCTAAGCAAATAAAGTATGGCTTCGTTATCTTTGTCACGCTTGAGGTAACACGTCTACCTTGTTTGTGTTGTGGCAGGGACGATTTATTAGGAGACTGAATCCTAGCTCGAATGCACACAGATGATAATATGTAGTAGCAGTAAAGCACGTGATTTTTGGGACTTCGTTAAAATAAATAAATAAATAAAAATATATTTTTGTAACCTTTACTTTCTTTCTTTTTTCTCTTTTTCTTTTTTCTTTCTTTTGTTCTTTGCTTTTTGGGTTCTTCATTCTATCTTCACTAATAACGACGAAAAGAGGCTGGATGAGATAAGCAACGAAGTAGTAAAAAAATATATGCTTAAGATTCTATTAAACTTTGATTCTCTTCGCGTTATGGTCGCCGGGAGATTCTTCTGTTTGCATTGTAAGGAAAGATGTATACTGCTGGAATCGGTAGTACCGCATAAATATTAATGAGGCACAGTTTTGTTACATCCTTTTCACTTTAACAGTCTTTTTTGTTAAAAAGTTGAGTAAAGTCACTTTTGATCCCTAATAAAAAAATATAGTTTATATTTTTGTTCCTTATAAAAAAAAATATCAATCTTTGATTTTTCTGTAATTCAAATTCTTTAAAAATGTAATCTTTTAAAAATTTAATGAAGATTCAATTTAATTCTTAAAAAAGAATTAATTAAATTATATTTTTTTATTAAAGACTCAAAATAGACTTTACAAAATTTCGCTCCACCCGATTAAAGGCTAAGAAGAGGGAGGGAAATGGCTCATTGAACTTTTTGGTAATTTTTTAATAAATATGAATCGATTTGAGTTGACTACAAATATAATTTCATTTGGAGAGTGTTTAATGCTGCTACTCCGTCGCTGCTTTGATTTTTTTTTTTTTTTTTAAAAAAATAAAAAAATCTGTGTCAACACAAGTTTACAATGTTACTTAATGTGACAACGATGATTTGACATAAAGCAATACAAGGTAAAAAGAAATCAACTTAACCGTTGAGCTAGCCATCTGTCTAGATAGACGTTCTTACAAGTTACAATTGAACTATATTTTCGAAGTCTTTCTTCATCATCGTTGCTCTGACTCAGTGTTACCTTGTCAATCCAGGTATAGTTGGTTTATTATATTATGTAATAATTAAGTTTTGTAATTGTTTAGTTTAGAATTACACACCTTACCTTAGTGCATCATGTATGGTCTAAATTGAATATTTAAATTCGACAACTCTTTTATGGTGGACACACGTACCGTAAGAGGCCTGTTGTTGCAGCCCATCAAGAGACACACAATGCGAAGGTTGTCCATGATTTTTCCAATGCCAGTCAAAACCTGACACGTGTAAAATCATAACAGTAAAAAATAAATATAAAGTTCTTTTTTTTTTTTTTTGATAACAAAATATAAAGTTCTTTGAACGGCCTCGGGCAAGAACTCGAAATAAAAGGAATTTGGCGCCGTTCCGGTCCCACCACCAAACTCCAAAACCAAGCACGGTTTGGACTTTGGACAAGTTCCAAGTTCCAACCAGGGACAAGCAAGTAGGCTAGGAAATATTCACCAGGCCAGAAGCTCGTTCACCATAACTCACCTAACATGGGAACAGTGACCATTGTGTCACTGTTCACCAACTTTTTTACCTAAATGCCACGCGAACAGTGTTATTTTCCAATCTGCCACGGGGCAAGTTCGCTTCTGACACAAGCGACCTCAGTTTGCTGATGTGTCAGCTTCCTGTGGTGTCAGAGTTCGCTTCTGACACGGGCGACCTTGGTTTCAACAATATTTTAATCAAGTTCCATGTTTTTTTGAATTTTTTTTTTAAATTTAATACTTGTTATCCACTAAAAATGTGACACGTCAGCAAACCGATGTCGCTTGTGTCAGAAGCGAACTTGCCCCCGTGGCAGATTGGGAAATAACACTGTTCGCGTGTCATTTAGGTAAAAAAGTTGGTGAACAATGACATTTTGGTTAGTATCCCCCTAACATGCAAGGTTACGAGGACAACACATCTTTGTAATTCGGTAAACAAGGCCCACATCACGAGCACCTCAACCCGTCGTGCCTCGCTAACAGAGTACATCACAAAAGCCTAATATTGGGGAGCCAGGAGCAACTGTTGGCTTTTTTTTTAATATTATAATCGGTTCATGGTTTCGTGATTAGTCTAGCAGAGCAACTGTTTTGAATCCATCTAATTGGGGAGATGTTTTTTTGATAGGCATGGAGTATGGTACTATGGTAGCCCCTTCTCAAAATAAAAAAATGAAAAAGATTGTGAGGAGAAAACCAAAAAAGGAGGGATAAATATAGAATAATTTTTTTCATTTATGAAAAAGGGATCACTGAATAAGTGGTGTACCTATATCGTAATAAATTTTTCCCTAAATGAGATGTTCAAAATACCAAAAAATCCAAACTAATGCATAACCAAACTGATCCATATTTAAAAAATTTATTTCTAAAAATCTGTTTTATATTAAATTATATTTTATTTTCTAAACCAATTATTTACCAAACCATTATATATCCATTTTTTTTTTTTTTTGTCTTAAACCACTTTTACATTTACTCTTTCGGGGAAGAATATACTTTCAACCTAAAAAATAAAATAGGGATGTACGGGCGGGGGAACCTAACTAAAACTCTTATTCTACAGTTTCAATTTGGCAAACTTTGTTGGATAAGAGGCTTATTTACACGAGAATGCAGGAGAATATCTAGAGGGAGGGTAAATAAAGTGTTTCCAAATTTTTCTAAATCTATTTATAAGTACAATTCGAATAACAACAGTTACACAACTATAACAATTTTATTAATTTTATCTTGTAAAAAATATTTATCCTTTTAAATGATACAACTTATATCTTTTCACTCTCACAACGAGGTAGGACCTATATCTTTATTTTTTTTTTCAACTCGCTCTCTCTTTCTTTATCTATCTCTTTCTCTCTCTTAAAATGACACAACTTTACATTCTTTAAAATGACACACACTTTTCCCTTTTATCTTAGGTCCCTATATGCCTAAAATAATTTCTATCAGATGTATATCAATAAAAAACAGACATGACCTTATTATTTTACAGAGCAAACGCAACAAGAAGCTTTCTTATTTAAATCAAAAAATGACTAACTTCTAAATATTAGAAAAACTGTTTAAGTGTTACGACACTTGTATCAGAACAAGTAAGATGCTACAATGTAATCTTGGTTCGAATAGGTACTATATAATCATATCTACATATTTTATTTCAAGGATCAAAATGTGCTTTGCGAGATGAAGACCTTAAAAAATAATAATCCAAAATTCATCTTGGTCCAAATAAAAGTATTTCGATCTTATTCATGAATAATTTTATGAAAAATAAAAGTATAATGTTGTAAGAAAATATTTAGGTTATGTTATAGAGATAGATATTGTGGGATCCATATTTTTTAAATTTTTTTTGATTTTTGAATTTCTATCTCTATAACATAACCTAAAAACTTTTCTATATATTTCTTTTTCCCAAATTTTATTGCGTGTTATATCTTTATCGTATAAATTTTAAGGAAATTTTTTTTCTTATGTCATTTGAGATAAATATTTTATGTTATATACTTGTCAAATTTTGTATCAGTTTTTTTTTTTTTTGTTTTTTTTTGTTTTAAAGCGTGAACCCCACATATTTATCTCACATATGAAAGAACTATATCAAGCAACACGAGATTAGTAACTTTCAAATTTTAAAAGTGCTGTTAACGGTCTTCTGTTTAATGAAAATTTCCTGTTCAATGTTCTTCAAAATTACCAGTATTTTATTTTGAGATTTGCATTTGTCATTTAACATGACACAACAAATTTTTCTACACACAATATTTTGTGCGGGCCACACTTTTTGAAGAAAAAAAAGAAAAAAAAATTACGGCACGCAAAACGAATCTCTATAACATTGCACAATCATTTTTCTACAAAAATAACTTTTATAAAACATGTTTATTTTTTATCTTAACATAGAAGATTCAATTCCCGACTTTACTGCTAGTCCAGTTAGAACAAAATAAAAAAAGAACGAATTTCATATACTTTATTTATTGAAAAAATCAGAAAAACTAGCCAATATTTTCAATCACACCAAACAGGCCTTGCGACTTGCGAGCACCTCTTTCCATAAACCCTTTTCTTCCATTCGATTTTCTACAAAGACCTAAGCTTGACCTGTAACTCGCCTATGGCCACTGTGGAGCCAATCCAGAACGGCTCTTCACAATCACTTGCATCGGATAATGCCGGCGGCGCAGCCGTCACAGAGGAAACTGTTGACGACGCCATACCGTCAACCGAAGAACCCGAATCAGAAGGCGCTGCCATCACCGAAAAGAGATGGCCCGGTTGGCAAGGTCACTGTTTAATGGAACTTGCAATACAGCAGGTAGTGCTTCTAAGACCTCTATATCTGCACCATTCATATTCACATGTATGCATCTGGTTTGGTTGTGTGCTTTTCACAGGTATTAAACTCCGTTAAGGATAATTACCAAAAAAAAAAAAAAAAAACTCCATTAATGTTTTTTTTCTTCAGAAATTAACAATGTGTTATATAGTTGCTTCTTTGTTTTCTTTTAACATTTTTATCTTTCCAACTCATCAAATTGGAAATAATGGAAGTTGGTGCTAGGTTTGAGTGGAAAAATTGCATGCATGCCATCTTTCTGACAGCAGTAGTTGCATTGAAACTGACAATTTATCTCCACTCTTTTGCTGCTATATGTTGATTGTGCTTTCATTGCATGGACCATGCAGTCTAGGTTCACATGTGTATTCTTGCCCTTTTTGATTTTATAGAATTGAATTCCTTTTGTTTTTTTGTTACTGTTCTATTTTATGTGACAGGCAAAGTTAGCTTTGGATGCCCTTGAAGTTCCTGTTGGGTAAGTTACCTTTTCATAATACTTAAATACTATTGTAAGCATAACTTGTGGTTGATTGAATAAGTTGTTAGGATTTGAAAGTCTTAGGTGAGTTTATTGGCCAGCATCAACATCGATCAATGGTGCTAGATGTTTGCATTAGGAAGGGAAATGCATTCTATTCTATGGTAATTAGACATGCCATTAGATGTTTGAAACCAGAGAATATTTTGGCATTTAAGGATGTAATGGGTGAGGAAGAAGGAAGAGGTTGGTACTGATTTAATGTTAAAGAAGATGACTTTATCCTCCTTGTATCCTAAATATTTATAAAGAAGTGCACTGGACTGTATTGGCTAAATGGATTTGGGTGCTATGATGACTATAAGCATGTTGAAATCACGACAAAAGAGGATGTTATAAGAAGTTGTAGAACTTTTTAGTGGATTTGGGACTTATGACAATACTAAAAGGGTAACCTGGTGCTATAAAGCTCCCGCTGTGCATACGATCCTAAGAAGGGTGTTACCCTGTATTTGCAAGAAGCCAATTACATGAATCTAGCGACAACACTAACCGTTTTGCAACGGTCATTAAACCAAAAAGTCTATCATTTGCATTGCTAAAGTCATTTTGATATCAATGGCATTTCATGGAACAAAAACTAAATTGCAGTGTTTGGATGGGAGTACCCTATGTCTTTAGTCCTTTGTTGCAAAGAGAAGTTAGGGAAAGAATTGAGATAACGGCATCAGAGATTAGATTTGCATGCATAGTCAGAGATTAATTTATTTACTAATTATGACTTAATGGCTTATGCTTTGTCCTTTAACATGGTGTAACCATGAGACAAAGGCACATTCCATATTAAATTGTAATTACTGGTATTCTTCCTGTCATTTGTTGAGTGTCGTACTGGTTGAAATGAATTTTTGCTCATTCATCATCTTGACTGTACTGCAATGAATAGATTGGAGAAACTGTGTCTGTCTCTTCATTGGAGTATTATTGCTTTGGCTTACTGTATTTATGTAAATCGTGATATCTGTTGCCAGCTGTGTAATTGTTGAGGATGGGAAGGTTATAGCCTCAGGCAGGAATCGAACTACTGAGACAAGAAATGTAATTTGATCAATGACCTATTTTTCTGTTTTAATGATGTTATCTTCTATTCTTAGTTTTATATTTAGCAGCTCCTTTGATAATCTATTTGTTGTTTGGAACTGTGAATTATTTCTGAATTTTATGGTTGTCTGCCAAAACCTTCATATGTGAAATTTGGGTTCTTTAACTTTATTGTTCTAGGATGTAGGCATTAGCATACATTTTTTCATGGTATAAATTGGAACTGAATTGCAAGTGGTAGTTTTAAAGTTTTGTAGTGATATGAGAGTAATGATGATGTATTATTTGTTATAGCATGAAGAAATAAGCTAGTTTAAAGAAGTATTCAGTGGCTATCAACACAACCTTTGTGAATGGTAACATGCAAAAGAGAACTTATACAGAAAAATGAGAAATATGAACCTTCAGTCATAAGCCTCAGTACACAATAGACTAAATTTTTTATTAACTGAACTTCCTCATATTGAATACTTTACTGAGAATTTGTCGCAGAATATTTATAATAATTAAACATTTGTTGTTATACTTAAAAATGCTCTGTAGGGAAAACTGATTTAATCTTAGTATGGCCTTAAAAAGCCATTAAAATATTAGTTTCTAATGAACATACTGTTTGCTCTTCAAGTGACAAAACATCTAGAAAATGTGGAAATTTGAAAAAGTTTAAACATTAATTTGAATTGCTTCTGGTGATACCGAGTTTCAATGTGCAAGGCATTTGCATATGTTCTTTTTGCACCCCGTTATTGGTTTTATGGCCTTATTTGAGTGATCGCACACTGATCCCAACTAGTTTGGGATAAAGGTGATGTTGATGTTGATGATGATGATAAGTTGAGTGATCACACAACTTGTTAATATTTGTTTTCACTTTGGCCTCGGTAGTTAACCATTTCTTGACAGCCCTGTATGTGGCTCTTAGTTAAATATTTCGTTTATGATATTGGCCGTGTGTTCCATTTTACATAGAAAAGAAAAAGGATCTGATTATTTAGTCAAATCTTTGTCATCTATTTTGTCGCGATTAATAAAAAATTTCTATTCTTTTACAGGACTTGGGCAGTAATAGTTATTATATATTTCATTAAAGCTTTATACAATGCTTGTCTTCATTACTGTTATCTTTATTTTATTTTTTTTCATCCATGGATTTCTTTCTTTATTGATAAATCATTTTTTACAGGCTACAAGGCATGCAGAAATGGAAGCTATTGATGTGCTTCTAGAGCAGTGGCAGAAAAATGGACTTTCTATGTCTGAAGTTGCTGAAAAATTCTCTAACTGCAGTCTTTATGTTACCTGTGAACCATGCATAATGTGTGCATCTGCTTTATCAATTTTAGGTATGCTCCTTCAAGTCTTTGATTGTTCTATCTATAACTTATAACTCTCACACTATTTATGTTGTCCCTTTTAAACCATTTGTTTGTGTATTATCTCAGGTATAAAGGAAGTATTTTATGGCTGTTCAAATGATAAATTTGGAGGATGTGGATCAATTCTGTCGTTGCATTTAAGTAACACTATGTCACTGAATAAGTTCGTCTTTTAACTCAGCAACATCTATGCAAGCTTTCTATAGCTCTGTTCTTAACTTTTGTTGTGTGCATGTCAGTTACTACTATTTTTTTTTTTAACTTTTTTAGAACAAATTTTATTACATCTCCTGTTCTGTTGAGTGGACGTTCTTATATGTTTCCACTACATTCACTAATGTATGTAATTAGGTGATTCCTTTTTTTCTTCTAATTAACAGTGAAGTTCCTCCTGGTAAGGGTTTCAAATGTGCTGGAGGTATAATGGCATCAGAAGCTGTTGTTCTCCTGCGAACATTCTATGAGCAGGGAAATCCCAATGGTAAGTTATTTTAACTATTCTTACTAACAGGCAGTACCTTCGAAAGCTTTTAGATATTGTTGCCATTTTGTCCATATAAGCCGTTGCAATAATACCACCACCAGTTCAGGATATATGGTTTAGAAGTTTGAGTATGGATTTGGGAGAGACGAGTTGTTCACTTTTTATTTTATTTTATGATATTATATTTTTCCCCCAATTAAATTGTAGTCTTAATTTTTTTTTTTCCAGCTCCAAAGCCTCACAGGCCTGTAGCACGTCAGGCATGAAGTTAAATTTGTGTATCACTAGGTTGGTGTTCATTACTTGTGTTTTGGTTGGGTACAAGGTTATCATAAGTTTTGATTATTTGTGCCTGAAAATTATTATTTCTTTAATACTGGTTTGTATTGTTTTTTCGTCTTCTGTTGACAGTTGCTGATATGGTTATCGACCCACATGCATGATATGGCTATCTGCCCGATATGCATGATTACAGTTATCTTCCCGCTGCATGCAAATCGCAGACAATGCACATGACCTGGAATTCTGTGCTACCATAGCATTGTCTGTGAGCGCACAAGCTGGTATTGGATGTCCAAGACAAGGCTTACCAGTTTGCAAAATCAACTTTTTTTATGATTTAAAAGCTGGTATTGTATCAATAACAATTGGTTCAAGTACTAAGTAATTTGTTCCCTTAATCAGAAGTCGCCACTTCAAACTCTGAAAATGGAGAAAATAGATAACAAAGACTTTTAAGTTAATTGTGGCAGTCGAGGTGTGTGGTTGATGTTAAATGCAGCTGGTGACTATGTATGGTGGCTTCCAATATGAATATGAATATTATAAAAACTTCAAGAGTTACAATATGCACATGCTGTGTTCATGTGTAGTCTAGCAGTGCTTCTAGCTTTAATAGAAAAAGACTGATAAGCTAACTGCGTAACCTCTACACTCCTCTGCATGCGAAGTTGCTGGCGTGTGTTCTTCAATGGGTGCTTCCATGTCTGCATGAGGTGTAAGCAGGACACTTTCTTAATTACTAAACACTCAGCTTTGTTCATTTTGTGGACCAAACTTGCTTCTTACTTTTGGAAATGAATTTGTGTAATGTAGGGGTTTAAATATGATTGGTGGCTTCTAATTAAATTTGATGAATAAACTACTAAAAACTCAGCCCCGAATTGCTTTGTAGTGTCTTGTATCTCCACGTACGACAGCTTTCTAGGCTTATCCTTTTTATGATGCAACATGTTGATCCAGAAATAAAGGTATTGGTAAATGAAGGTGTTAAGGTTCTCATGCAATTTAAGTCTTGGTAAATGAAGCTCGACCTTAAAAGTAACATGAATATAGACAAAATTTAGATGAGGAAGATCAAGTTTCAAAATATTGACGGTAGATTTATTTCAGAATTATTGAAAGGTCATATCAATATTTTTCTATACGATCTACATTAAATTTAGCAGTTGTGTTCAAAAGTTATACTCTTCACTGACATCACCCGAACTATATAGTTTCACCTCTTCAGAGTCAAATATATGCCTATGTAATAATTACAAAAAGAAAACGAAGTAACCCCTTCAAAGTGAAGGTAACTTTGTGTAAGCCGATATTATCTTTGTCGTTATAATTTTTAATTTACACTTACTATGCAGCTGATATGAGAGCTATGCCTATAATTTAAAGTGTCGAAGTATGTATTAGTTTCTCCTAGGAAGCAAGTTTTAATATTGCTAACTTCAAAACAGTTGCTTCTTTTACATCATACAAAGTGATGCAGTAACATCAGACTAAAAACCAATCATGTATTACCCTGCAGTGCAAATGTTTCCTAAAAAAAGAGTTATAATCAAACCTTTTCCTTTAATACAGCTGTGGGTACATAAATAATAGATGGTTCATTCGAATGGGGTATATCTAAACCCTTTACTCTGTAATTTTGAATTCCAGTTAATTTCTGTTTCATGCTATCTAGTTTAATCTTCAATTTGCTAAGTCTTTCAAATTCCAACTCTGCCGCTTGAGAGTTTCCTTCAAATGTAAAATTTACCCTCCTCTTTCTTTCTTTCAACAACTTCTTCAAGCTCACATCATCACTCATCTCCATAAAGTCCTGAAAACAGAAAAAAAAAAAGGTGAAAAAACTTGCTAATTGTGGTCCTTTCTAATCCGAAAGAATTACAAGTGCAACAATTAATAAAACTGCAAACAACATGGCCACACTTCCTCAAGTGTATTGCTAGAAAATGCTGTCTTTGAAACCGTTATTTGCCTTGCTAGCTGCTTTCATATAGCAGTGTTACTTCTTAAGCACACAATGCATACAGAACATGACATGACATTTAGTAGAAAAGCACCTTGTTTCCATTTTCTATTGGATGAGGTGGAGGTATTTCTGGTTGTCTTTCCTTGAAAGGACTGCTAGGTGACTTTCTTTTCTTTCTACCAGTGACATTTCTAACATTCTTCTGGGAATGGGTCGTAGTAATTTTTGAGGTATTTGATTTCAAAATATTAGCTTTCTCCGGATTTTGTAATGTAGAGTTCTTCCTAGAAGTGATAATACTCTGAAGCTGGTCTTCTCCTTCTGCATGCAACTGAACAGAATCCACTCAAATTAGAGTTTTTACAAAAGTAGACAATTTCTGAATGTGACACATAAAGGACGTTTTATTATAGGATAACTTTTACAAGTAGTAGAAGTACACAGCTATTGAAGAAATTCTTATAAGAACAACTTGAGAGATATTGCGAAGAATTCAGGAGTGCTTATACAACTATTCAAATCAAAGTTTGACCAATGCATCTGTACAATATTAATTTTAAGCAGAGAAAGCGATATTTGATCACTATTTCTGTTCTATAAACAACTAGATGATATCTAGAAGGGATGATAGTTATGCAAAGAGCTAAGCACATGGCAGAATATCTGATAAAAATAAGAATCAAACGTTGATAAACAGATCGGAAGACAAAATATTACTTGCATAAACTGGAACAGAACAGAGCAGAATATAGAAGTAAAGCTAACCTTTCTGGTTTTAAGTGCTATGTAACGTGCATTTTTGAACCATTTGCTGACCTGCATTTTATAACACAAGATAGTAACTGGAAATTTGAACGGATAAAGAGTTGCTATACATGAAAAAAGACTTCAAGTAATTGGAATAACTACAGGGACCAATGTAATCAGCACCAAAAGCAAATACAAATTCATAGGTAAATCAGATGAAGATAGAAAGAAGATGCAGTTGGAGAAGTCATAACCTTCTCAATATCAAGTCCCAACTCTTTTGAAAGATCCTCCTTCATAGATCTTGGAGGAAGTTCATTCTCAGCAAAAACTTGGCGAAGCTTCTGGATCATTTCAAAAGAAAATGAAAGGGACATATATTAGTGCAAATGCAACTCTTTATATATGTGTTCTCAACTGGAATTGAGAGGGGGCAATAAAGAAAAATAACATTTCAAGTACTACCTCAACTGCATCACGTGGAATCCTATGACAAGACCTTTTGATATTTATGCCCGAAGAATCCTTTCTTGTCCTGTCGCTGTGCTCCTTATTGGGATATTTATTTTTACTTTCATGCAAAGTCATAAGAGTATTCACAGCATCAGACTCCTTTTCTCTTCGCTTACTTTTGCCAGGACCCCAGTCCTCATCTTCACTCATCTGTTCATATGCAGGAGCATCCTTCCCAAACATTTCCTGAAAGGATGAACTCAAATGAAACTTCTTTTGCATGATCCAAGTCATCCTTCAAATAAAAATAGCAAGAAAAATAGAGAATTCTACTTTTTATAATATTTCCATTTGCAATAATTGTCCATCCACATCTAATTGCAATTCATTTTTAAATCAATACCCTAAAGCCTACAAAGGAGACACATAAATATTTTCCAACCCAATTCATTAAGAAAAACCAGGATAATCTTTCCAATGTGATACAGCAACATTTTGTGTCTGTAAAAAGACTGGTAAAATGAAGGCCTTAAATTTTAAGCTACCAACATTGTGTCAGGAGCTTGTAACTTCCATACCACCAATGAAGTTGTAAATTTAAACATTGAGGACTTTAATTTCATTTTCTGAATGACAACTTTTATATACTTACATCATAAAGTTTCTTGTAGTCAACGGCTTTTCGCTGCCTGCGGCCACATGCTTTTTCCTCAGATTCATCAGAATCTATGCTGCTATTGACAGAACAATATTCATGGTTGACACCTTCATATACTGGAGAACATTCACCATCGGAAGAACACAGACTGGTAGAACTGCTTAAATCATCAGATGCATTATCATCAGTTCCTTTTGTGTTGATATTGTGGCTGTCTTCTCCCCTCTCTGGATTATAATCATCATCTTCAGAATCATCTGATGGCCATTCTTCTTCAGGATTCAGTAATCCAGTATCACCATCAGGTATAGCAGCCTCTTCTTTGAATACATCCTTAATTTATGGAAGAAAGGCATTATTAGTTGAACCAATAGGGAACATGGATTTGGGGTTTTCTTAAGTGAGGAAAGTACTTTAGATAGTAAAGTCAAGAGATGAGAAAATCAAGGGTGTACATACATAGATATATATGATTTGTTATACAGGTGCTTGTATTTTATAAAATTCTAAACTGTTGATCAAGAGAGAGAGAGAAGAAAACTAAAAACTAGATGGTGTAAGAGGTTATTAGGACTAAAAACCTGCCAAGTACTGTGCAAGGAAAAGTGAGTTCCAAGATGGGCATTCATTGCCTCCAGTATTTCCATCTTACACTCACAAAATTTACAAAACCAGCCGTGGTCTCCATGAGGAACTGCAATGTATAATTAAACGATTCATTCATTTAATGAAGTCAGCACACAGGAGGTTGCAAAATACCGATAAATTTGATGAGCAACTTTGGGAACTCACTATTTTCAGTGTCTAAAGGAGGATCAAGACATTCTTGATGAAAAGCACAGTTGCATGTACCATGACAGAGTATTATATCATTATCTGGAAGAGATTCACGCAACTTGCACTTTGCACAGAATACCTAGATGTAGAAGTTAGAAAAATGAATATACAGTTGTTAAAATGGTGAGATTTATCACTTCCATACGGCTTAACTAAACTTGAGAAAATGCATGATGAATGGCTCCCCATTAACAAAATAAAATAAGATGTTAAACAGGCTCACAAGTCTTGAACTGGAAACAATGCAGAAAGATTTAACATAATACAATGAAGTATTCACAGTGTTGATACTTGCTCACATGTTCATGGTTAACAGACCCATCTGGAGCAATCACAGGAATGCTACTCAGCGAACTAAGAGAATCCAACTGGCGAATAGCATCCCGAATACTCAGTTTATATTTTAAAATCTGCTTTCGCGCTCTTTGTAGCTCCTTCTCTGGCCTAATCTTTTCGCGACTGTGATATACATTTCCATCAAAGCAAAAAAGAAAATGATGAGCCACAATGCTATTATGCTATTTGTCAAGGGAAAGTTTTGGGCCAAAATAGCTAATAATTATTTTCAGATGAGATCATACTGCATTTCTGCGTGCTATTTTCCATGAAAAAAGGTCACGCATTTAGAGAAACTAAACTATTCCAATTTTATAATCACTCATCAAGCAAACAATTATAACATCAACAACACCTTTAACCCAAACTAGTTGGGGTAAGCAAATAATTATAACATAATAATAATTATAAAAAGTATAGTCAATATGAAAAAGAAGAGTTGGTCTTTCATATTGTCTCTCTTCTCTTCCCTACCCCAAGTAAGAGGTGTCTCATGTTCAAGTACAGACCATATTTCTTCTACAAAAAAGTTAGTGAGTGTAGAAATGTATGTCCAATAAAGAAGATCGAATCTTAAATCAATTTTTTTATTCTTAAATTACTTTCATCTTATTTGCAAAGATTCTTGCTAAAAATATGTGCTTATGTCTTTATGATTGTTTTCTTTTTGTACTTTTTAGACATTGAGACATGGAAATGATACATTACATTATTGGCTTAAAGACTACAGAAGTAATAGAACAAATTAGAATATCTAAAATTCCTCTTTTTATTGTAGTGAGGAAATGATCCACAACAAACACACAGGTCCAACTTAAATTTCCGTTGCAATGTTGATTATGATTGTTTTTGTTTTTCCTATTTCATGTTTATATTGATAGGAAAGATGCATATAGTGTATCCATACTAAGCTTTTAATGGAATATATAACTTAAAAGAATATATGAAAATTCCTGCTATCAGCAAATGTGAACAACCTATAATCATGTATTACTCAAAAAACCAACCAATTACATACCTTGATACCTATAAATGCTTTGAATGAAATACAAGAAAAATTTCAAGTGACATAAAGCATGTTCTTTCTCCTTATAATATGAATAATGTTAATAATAATAACAAAAATCAATTAAAAGGTAACAGCTCCTTACTCGATTAAAAGGTAAGATATGCATATTATATACCAAAAATTTAAAAAAGAAAAGCTAAAGGAAAATTTTTCCTGTACCTCTGACCTTTCCAACCCTCTCCAGAGTAAGCATCAATTAGGTTCTGCTCTAGCTTCATTTTGATTAAAAGGTACCTTGTTCTCCTCTGCAGGCGTGAAGCATCATCAAGATCCACGTTATTCCTTTGTCTTTTCTTCTTTCTCTTTCTCTTTTGAAGCTTTACCTCCCCATCAACAACTTTCCCTTCTTTCCTAGAACTAAGAGAAACTTTTTTGCCTTGTAGCTTTGACAATGGCTTCTGTGAGGATTTTCTGTCAGTTTGTTGAAAATTTTGTCCAGTTCTAGATTTCTTATTAGAAGAATCCTTGCGTGGCCCCTTGAGGGTACAGTCAGTAGCTCTTTTCCTTGATATGTTAGTGCCAACACTGTGTGTGTGAGATTTTGATTCCGATTTATGCTTCTTCCCTTGGAACTTTGTGCGTGCCTTCGAGTAACCGGATTTTTTAGATTCTCCATTTCCTAACTTCTTCTTGCTATCCCGCATATTAACTTGTTATGAACCCTGATAATTTAGGCATAATATGGATAGAGTGACATTAGAATTACTTGTAAAGTGATAATCTAGATTAAACCATTCCTGCACAATCACATATTTTGTACAAAGAAAGCCACTGATTGGACAGAAATTGCACTTAGAAATGCAGATTAATGTAGCTTGTGATCCATTGTAAAAATACAATTACACAATAACCTTTATAATGTACAGAGAAGAATGATGCTGACTAGTAAAAAATATGAGCAGTACAATTGATCAAATACTTGAGATCAAAGTAGGGTGGAACAGTTCACCAAAAGTCAGATGTAACAGTGCCAAATATTTCAGCACAAGATGAATTGGCAAAACAGTTGAGCATTACATGGACAGTACTCGTAGAAAGACCACGAAGAACATTGCATCAAGAATTACTTGATGAATTTATTGAGTAAAAAGGAAAAGTTGAGGTATGATGTTTAAAGACCCCGATCACTTCAAAGGCCATAGGATTGCAAATAAGTAACAATCAGTTTCATTAGTCTTTCTGAACCACGATTCAATCAAGGAAAAACAAACTTATTATCCGAAGAAAACATACCCCAAAAAAAAAAAGGTTAAAAAATAAAATAAAAAGGCCATGACATGATGCCAAGACCTTGACTTGAATCCAGATGTTAAAACCCCACAAGTTCCTCGTTAAAACAAATGACACCCCACATGAGGTTAAGGCGAATAAAGAAAAACTAACCTGTAATGGAAGAGGAATATCGTGAAAGATCAGAACTTTCTATAGCACTGAAGCTATATCTCTCAAAAACATAACATGGTGATAGTGCATGAGTGGGAATGATTAAATAAGCGAACTTTGATTTGAAATTGAAATTGGGTCTCAGCTTCCCAATGTTGATCGACCATTCTCCCCCAACGGCTCACCTCGTATTCCCCAAGCGCCACCAACGTTCAGCTTCTTCTTGTCTTCCCATGTACTATGAAAAAAAAATCTCTTTTTTTCTTTTATTGTGTGTTTGTTCTCACTGTAATTGTGGCATAAAGTTTGTGTCATAAACAAAAACAAAAATAAAAAAACAAAGAAACTGCTTTGCTATTGCTGAATTATATGTTGTTGCTAATGTTGTGGTTGTATATTCATATATTGAATGTTTTGCGCAGCCAAAGGTGAGTGTCTCAGACCGTCTATGCAATTTACTAAGCAGAATTAAGGATGCATATAGCATTTACCTACCTTTAAAGAATGACTTTTTATTTTTTAATAAACAAAAATTCAACACATAACTTAATATAATCTATTAAAATCTTTTACTGTTATACCAATCCTAATAGCTTTGAAGAATGAATCTTTGTGTGGTATGGAGTGGATCGTTAAATATGAAAAATTTATATGATCTGGGGTGATGTAAAATTTTTATATTTATCTTTTTTTTTTTGGTAGTCTATTTATCTTTTTTTTTTTTTTTACATACATTAAATAGATGAAATATAATTATTATTAATAAAAAAAATATACACACAAATTTCACATAACCAATTCATATAAATTTTTTAACATGAGAGTTCAATTTCTTCTCCTCATACATTGAATAGTTTGCAGAAACTACTAATTTCCTATAATGTCATAGAAAGTTAGGCTTGGTACAATTTTATTATTGTGGGTCCATCGCTTCTCATGTGACTGCTGATGAGAAAAGTTGTAGCAAATTTTTAACACTAGGATACGCGTGCGGATCCTAGGATACACGTGCGGATTCTATCCAAAAAAAAAAAAACCAGGATTCGGACGCGTATCCTGGTAAAAGTAAGTGTTGCTGCACTTTTTCCCTTCTGCAGTCACATAAGAATTACTTTCCCCTTTATTATTTTACAAAACCAAAAAGCAATAACTTTTTATATTTATTTTATTTATGTGCATATTTGATTGTTGAAAGTTTATATAACGCTCTACGTCTCATGAATCCTACACTAGTGGAACATAGAAAGATGAATGTATTTAGGGTTATGTTAACAACTATAATAAGAATACTTGTTAAGCAGTCACAAAATATAAAGAATCAAATTAAAAAAAAAATTAATTTAAAAACTTTCACTTTACATTGATATTTTCTTAAATCCTTAACAAGTATTGTAAGAATAATTGTTAGCAAAATTCATATATTTATTAATTTAATTTTGATGCATTATTAATATTTGGAAATTGGATAAAATTTAAATATCTTGGTATAATCTAAAATCACGTATTTCTATTTTTTTTATTATTTATAGCTCATGTGATTTTTTTCTGTTAAATGTTTGTTTTACATATTTATGTTATATCATACTTGAAATCGTTGAAAATGTAGTAAGAGTTGATTTATATAATGTGACCGAAAGATATATTTAGCATATTTTCATTTGCAGATCAAAGACAGACTTGAACAGAAAAAAATTACACAAGAAGTAACTGATAAAAAAGAATGAATGATCGTAGAATAAATAACAAAAATATTTGAACTTCACCTTAACAAATTTAGTATTTGCATTAGTAATATGTTCTTATATTATTTAATATTTTATATAATTATTAATATAATTAAACTCATATAATAAATTAAGTATTAATACAAGATTAAATGATAATATAACAGAGTTTTATATTGAGCATACATCAAAATTAAACTCACCCGGTACTTGTTTGAAAACTAAATTGAATTGGTTGATTTGATCAATTAAAACATAAATAGCCTATATTATCATAGCGCTATTACCTTATATATGTTATCTTGTTGGGATAGGATATTGTGACACCCAAGTTATGTTACACCCATGTGACACCCAGTCAATCTCACCGTTAGATCGCTTATGTTGATCCAACGGTTATACTTATTTTTATCTTTGTATGGTCATGATTTCCCAAATTTAATATTTTATATTTATTTCTACCTTTGTATGGTTATGATTTTCCATATTTAATGCTTTCACTTTAAATTTAGGAAATCATGACCATACAAAGATGGAAATAAATATAACCGTTGGATCAACATAAGCGATCTAACGGTGAGATTGACTGGGTGTCACATGGGTGTAACATAACTTGGGTGTCACAATATCCTATCCCTATCTTGTTTGATTATGATTCAATTATAAAGTTAATTAACTGAATCAATCGAATCATAATTTAATCCTGTTATCTTGTTATTCAAAGGATCATCTTTAGAAACCTCACAAATTTTTATATATGCATAAAAATAAAAATAAAATAAAAAATTGGCAGTGTTTCCTAATCTGAGAGATGTCCAGGCTGTGGTGTCCATGAGACACCGAAGCCTTGAATTATGTATCATAAGGAAGTTGGATCCATGTTGTCAGTTGAGAGCATTCAAAAGATTACGGGTGTTTTGGTAATTTCATGAAAAACTAAACGAACGCCTTTCTCTATTTATTGAAAGAGTTAGGTGTTTGTATTTTTAGAGGGCATAAATTGTGTTAATTTTAAATGAGAGAAAGATGAAAATTATTGGAAAGAAAGTGAGTAATTTTTTTTAATTTAAATTTTAAATAAAAAATTCTAGTTTTAATTAAAATGACCATTTTAAAGGAACAAATATTTTTCGATATTAAAAAAAGGAAAGATTATAGTTACTATCTTTTTTTTCTTATTAATTGTTACTACCAAATCTTAAACGTTGATTTTCGTCAATCTAACAGTTATAATTTATTGGGTCATATTTATTAATTAATTACAAATTCTAATAAATTATAACAATTAAATAGACGAAAATCAACGATTAAGATGCGGTAGTAACAACTAATAAGAAAAAAAATAATAAATATTAACAAATACAGAAACTGTGGTAGTTAAGGCTTAGACAACCTCAAACTACCAAAATACCCTTTTATCGTTGGTTTCTTCTCTTTGTTATTGGAAAAAAACGAGACAGTAACACAGATAGAAGAAGGAAGAAGAAGAAGAAGCACATTGTTTCTTCTTCTTTCTCTCCTCCCTTCAAATTCAATTACCAAACCACAATTGATGAATGGGAACGTTTCAGAGCTTCAGAAAGGCCTATGGAGCTCTCAAGGATTCCACCATGGTTGGCCTAGCCAAGGTCAATAGCGAATACAAGGTTACATATTATATATTTATCTCTATTTATCATCAATCTTTTTAAAAAAAAATTCCAAACCTTTTTCTTACAATTGAATTTTCTCTATTTTATATTTTGATAATATGTTCCATTTTTTCTTTTTTTGAAGGAATTGGATATTGCAATTGTAAAGGCTACCAGTCACGTAGAATATCCTCCAAAGGAACGTCATGTTCGAAGTGAGTTCTCAAAACTTGTTGAATATAAATAATACCTTCTTCATTTTTCATCGTGAAATTTGTTACATCGAAAGCCTTTGAAATATTTTCTAAAGCTTTGGTTGATCAATGTATGCTTGTTTACCATGTCATTGCTTGCGTTATAAGAAATTAGAAATGAAATCATTACCATAATGCCAAATTGGGATATATAAACATATATTTATATATATATATATATCAAAGGAATAGTTGCTATTCCATTGCGTTATTAGTTTCTCTCTTTGTTCTTCATTGCAGAAATATTCTATGCCACATCAGCACACCAACCGAGGGCAGATGTGGCTTACTGCATACGCAAACTTTCCAAAAGACTTTCCAAGACGAGAAGTTGGATAGTAAGTCCTTTTCATACTTAGTGGTAAAATGTTATGGTAAAGCTTTTTTTTTTTTAATGCTTGCTTTCTTCTTGATGAACAAACATTAGCAGAAAAGGAGAATAAAAGGAGGAAAACTTGAATGATATCATGTGGGCATTTACCTCTCAAATATGTAATATACAACTATAAATTGTGGCTCTAAGATTCTAGGGTCCTTCCAAAACAAATGATATATGAAATGTCCGACATAACAACAATCCATGTGGAAAGGAACATTTAGAAAGAGAAAGGAAATGAGATTTGTCCACAATTTTACTCACAAAAAAGACTATCTTTCCAAACTTTATTGACATTTGTCTGTAATGAAATGACAGGTTGCCATAAAGACATTGATAGTCATTCATAGGATATTGAGAGAGGGTGATCCTACCTTCAAAGAAGACCTTGTAAACTACTCACGCAGGGGACATTTTCTCCAAATATCCAATTTCAAAGATGACTCTAGCCCTCTAGGTAAATTTGCTCTAAAGATTATTTATTGTAACTCTTTTGCCATAAAGGCTGTTTTAGACCCTTTCATGCCTAATTTGATAATTTCTCCATGCAGCTTGGGATTGTTCTGCATGGGTTCGAACCTATGCATTATTTTTAGAAGAAAGACTTGAAAGTTTTAGAATCCTTAGATATGACATTGAGTCTGAGCGTTTAACAAAATCATCACCGGCTTTAACTAAGGTGTGTGGTTTGCCTTTTTAATTTTATTCACACACTAATTGTTCCATGCGGCATTTATTACCATTTTTTCAGAAAATCACTAACTTTCAGCTTTGACAGGCACATAGCAGGACACGAATGTTGGCTAGTGGTGAGCTTTTGGAGCAGTTGCCTGCACTGCAGCAACTTCTATACCGCCTTATTGGTTGTCAGGTAAGAATTTGTGGGGAAAACTTAAGGTTTGTTATGCCATATCTTGTACCATTGAAATTGCTGCATTTTCCTTCCCTTAGATAACATATAATTTGCTTTGATATTTTTCAGCCTGAAGGATCAGCTTTTAGCAATTATCTAATACAGTATGCATTGGCCCTGGTATGCATGTTTAGTTTGTACTTTTTTTCACATATTAGCAGTTTTTAAGTATAATCGCAGGGAATCTATTTATCTAGCATTGTGACTCTTTCTCTGACTTTATTTTTCCGCTTCTGGAAAATATCATTTAGGTATTGAAAGAGAGCTTCAAAATATATTGTGCCCTCAATGATGGAATCATAAATCTTGTGGAAATGGTAGTGTCTAATCAGTTTATTTTGTTATTTTGATCACTTCACTTGAAATTTAAATTGTAGTAACTAATGGTAGTTGCAGTTCTTTGATATGCCAAGATATGATGCAGTGCAGGCTTTACATATTTATAAAAGAGCTGGCCAACAGGTTTACAATGATGATTTCCTTCACACACATTCTTCTTTCTTCTTGTCCAATTTGAATTGTATCTTGTGCTCAATGAGGCTTTCCAAAAGGGTCATACACTCATCCTTGTTGAATTGATGATTGTTCTTACTTGCAGGCTGAAGATCTTGCTGACTTCTATGAGTACTGCAAAGGCTTGGACCTTGCTAGGAATTTTCAATTTCCAACCTTGAGACAGGTTCTTTCTTGCTCACAAGTAATTATATTTCATTTGATATCATAAATGGTTTCTCAGTAAGATCTTTCCTGCAACAAGCAGCCACCTCCGTCTTTTCTTGCCACAATGGAAGAATACATTAAAGAAGCACCCGAGGCAGGCTCTGTTCATAAGAGACTACTGGTAAGAAAAAGCGATATAAAAAATCATTCGAGAAAGCCTGTGCCTTATATGTATTTTGTATATGAGCTTCAAAGAACCAATATGCATCTTTTTCTAACCAAATATAATGGTAAACCTGGACTTGGTGAATCCAAATAACTCCCAAAGATTACAAAGTACAGGACTTATGGCATGCAATATGGCAAATGAAGCTTAAGCCACTTCCTCTGGTAGAGGATGAGCTGAAAGACCTTTAGAGCGAGCCAAAGAATTCTCAGGATATTCTTGAGTCTGGAAATTGTATTCTCTCTTATGTTTCATAAAAGTGAAGGAATGGCAATGCTCCCAAAAACACATTAGCTAGTAACAGAAAATTTTCAGATCTTATTTATTCTGCATTGGGTTCTAAAATCAATTTTACCACACGGATATATATAGAGAATTAGAGATAGACCACCATAACTTTTTTTTGTTATTTCATTTTACTCAACAATTTTGCATTATGTTCTGGATCTGGTTATGCCATATTGCACATGGCCCTGCCTCGTTGAGGTTTCTGCATTTGTTGTAATTGGCATCCTGGAGAAACCAATGCAATGGCCATAAAGTGCTAATTGTTCTTAAACTTTCTCTCATGTTAATTGATCTTAAACTTTCATGTATGCCCGCAACATGTTTATATGTTACGGATTATTAATAAATGTCATGCAACATGAGGAGTATCAGGAAGACGATCAATCACCTAAAAAAGAAGAAACCGAACCTGAAGAGCCTCAAGCAATTGAGAAACAAGGTGAAGAAGTCAAAGAGGAAGAACCCGGAGATAAGGAAGAAACACAGCCTAAGGAAGAGGAGGCTGAACCTCCTCCACTGATATCAACTGATGATTTGCTGGTATGCTTTGGTTAAGTGGTAATGTTGTATGCATGCTTTTGATGTTGGTTTGATGGAATATATAATATATATGTCTCCCTTTGCAGGGTCTAAATGAGATAAATCCAAAAGCTCTAGAACTGGAGGAAAGCAATGCTTTGGCGCTTGCAATTGTACCCCCTGGTGGTAAGGCCTAGAGTATTTGATAATTGATTAAGAAATATAAACTTTTGTAGTGCATGCCTCCCTGGAGAATGGAGATTGCAATTCGCTTCACTTGTATCACTCAAATGCCACTTAATTTATTGTATCTTAATATACTATTTCAGCGATATAAATTATACCAACAATTTTTCACATACACTATTACTAGGACTTCGTCTAAAGAAATTTAATTGTATCAATTATTTTCTTTACTTTGTTTTTCCTTTTAAACCTCAATCATACCCATGATTCAGTTAACCATGCTGTTTGATACTAAATCTAATTATAAGATTATGCAATTTGTATAGGAAATAATTCAAGCAATCTTGCTTTGACTGACATAAGTGGAACTTCTGGTTGGGAACTTGCACTGGTTACAACACCAAGCAACCATACGAGCCAAGCACCTGATCGTAAAATGGTTTGTTTTTCTTATTTGTACACAACATCCAACGAGGCTTTCATCCCACATATTTAGGCTATAGTTACAGTTTCACACACGTCAACAACTATTTGAAAATGTCTGTGATGTGCATATACTGGACGTAATGGAATATTAAGAATTGCACCTAGTGCTGCATTTAGGTCATGATAAGTTCTTTCCATATTAATCATTTAAACCTGCAAGAAGATAACACCAGTGTTCTTGAGTCAGGCTGGTGGGTTTGACAAGCTATTACTAGACAGTTTGTATGAAGATGAAAATGCAAGGAGACAACTTCAACTCCAAAATGCAGGTTATGGATATGGTGGCATGGCTATACATAATCAATTCGATCATTATAATCAGTATGATCCATTTGCAATGTCCAACAACATAGCACCTCCATCCAATGTGCAAATGGCATTAATGAATCAGCAACAGCAACAGCAACAAATGGTGTTCCAACAGCAACAGCAGCAAATGATGTTCCAACAACAGCAGCAACACAACATGATGATGGTCCCTTACCAGCATTCAAATTCTCAATACCCTCAACAGATGCAAGTTATGGGTTCTTCTAATCCATTTGTAGATCCCTTACCCATACCTAGCTATCCTTATAGTTCCATGCACCATCAACATCAAGGGAACCACAATTTAATCTAGATTTCAGCTTCTTCCACTCCCCACCCTAAACTGGATGTATTCTTTGTTATTTGAAATTGGGTAACATTAAATTTTCTTAATCAAAGTCTCTTATTCATTGTTGGCCAGTGAATGCGTGACATGTAAATTTTTACTTGTAACTGTGTACGATTCATTTTTCATTGGGTGCACCACTCACATCCAATGGTGCATTTAAAAAATTAATTCCCGAGTGATAGTCGAAAGTTCGAAACTGAATAATTAAGACGGAAAACACACCTCAGTAATTATTATCCCAAGTTCAATGATTCATTTATCTTTCTAGATCAACATAGAAAACTAGGACAAGAATCCCTATGGATGTTGTGTGTTTGAATTTTTCTAGTTGAGCCATTGTTGAGCCCTCAAGTCCGATTCAAGAAATTAAGGTTGACCAAAGGCAACAAGGATTTTGATAATATTTTGGTATATTATCAATATAAAACTCTTGTTATCATGGAATAAAAGGAGAGGGGACTGTTACAGAGATAAAGACACATATTTAAATAAACTTGCATCCTCTCTCTGTCACAAGACCTTCATATGGAGGTGATGGTGGGACCCAGAATCCAGTGGGTGTGCTCGTCAAATACGTAGCCGTCCATGTCCTTCAGAGAATCTGTAGCAGTTTCCTTTAGTATTACAAAAATTAACAATTTATCCTTCTCATGCTTAGTTCTTTTACAAATAAATCAGGTATGCCTTTTGGATATAAAGAACATGAACTAGCAGTTCTCAAACATATTATACTCACTTTATACATTTAAATTCCGAGGGTAGAAATGGGTGTGGTGGTGGAATGGGGGAAAAAAGAAATACAAACAATATGGTTTGGGATTGCTTTTGCAACCTCCTACGCCGTTCTAAAATGCAAAGAAAGGCATGGAACCAAGCATAAATAGGAATGCATCATAATAGTTTATTTTATGTAATCCGGATGTGAGTATTTACATATTAATCTCTCTGAACATCTGCAAAACTCTGGTATTCATGAGCTGTGGAAGTGAAGCAAAACAAACCCATTTTTTATTGTCACTAAAGAATTGTAATTACAATATATATATATATATATATATATATATACACAGGTCAATGTAAAAATCGTTTCACATCTCAGACAAAAGATTGCTAATTTTCCGGAGCTCCTTGAGAGCTGACATGGCAGTAACATGCCCTTTACCAACAAGAACATTTTTAGACAAGTTATCCAGTGATGCTCCCTGGCAACGGTCTTGTTGGAAAGCAGACTCAATCACCTGCCACACAAAAATATAGTCCTTAAGGTAACATGTCTGAAACATCAGTTTGAGGTCTACACAGCACATTTTATTTAAAACATTAGAGTTTACAATCCTCAAATTGCATCTTGACTTATTAACTTGACATTGAATTTGAGAGTGACAATCAGAAAGAACTTTACCTGAATGTGCTCAAGCATAGACTGCCCAATATTCCTCAAGGTGCCCATCACATTCTGGTCTGCAGAATCCCCTTTGCAACTAACAGAACTACAATGCCCATTAGCTGTAGAACAGAGTATTATATTACTTTGATTATTATTACAATTGTTGGCAGGTTTTACAGCCTCTGAAGCACCTCCTCCTTTCTCAGACATAGCCTCACTGTTATTCCGCCCAAACTTCCAAAGCCACAGGAATTTATTCAGTTTCCTCTCCTTAGAATACGTGGTCAAGTTTCCTGTGGAATCATGATTGCACCCTGAACTCTGAGATATGCTCTCAGGATGATCAGAGATTGGAAGAGGTGAATCAGTAGGACTACGTGAAGTTTCATTAATTTCATCCACATCCACGTATAAATTAGACGCAACACTACTTTTCTCTGAGTCATTTTCATTATCATTGGCCTCATTATGAGGACTAGCTGGGCCAGAAATTGTAGACAAATTTTCCTCGCTGCCAGTGTTTCCACTTGGAGATCTATCCTCAGCAGGGTTATTGTCGACTCCTTCAGAGCCATCATCTTGTTGCTCCACTTTAACTGCTGCAGAAATATTATCCTGCTGGCATAAAATTTCATGACAGCACAGTTTTTCTGTATCTTCCACTGAGCCAAGTTCCTTAGAAAGATCTTCTAACAAACTGTGCCTAACATATGCCTCGGATTCCTTTTTACCACTCTTAACCCCTGACGAAGATGGGTCAGATTCTGTTCTTTTCAAACTGAACTTTACCTTCTCTGTCCATCCCTTTTTCTGAGTTTGAACCTGTTTTTCTACTCCATCTTGCTTAAATTCTTCAGCCCTGTGGACAACTCTCCACTTTTCTTCCCAGTAGGTATCAGGTAACAAATTCAGAGGAGTTTTTGGTGAAACTGATTCAGATGGAAGGGTAACGGATCTTGTAATACCTGATTTACCCAGGTTAAGATACCCAATAAATGAAGGTGTTGAGGATGAAATATCAGTACTTAATGCAAGAGCCTGCAAGGATCTAGCCTTCTCTATTAGTTTTTTAATGTTAGTGTTCTCAGGGAAGTTTAATAATCTCTGGAGACAAATAGTAGGATTTTCAGTTGCGAGTAGTGAAGATCTTAAATGAAGTAACATTGCTACAGCCATAGCTGAGATAAATGCTCCACGAGATGAATGCAAGATCCTAAAACCAGAGTCTATGGTGTCCTCAGCATGCTTTTCCACTTTACCATTATCTGATAAAAAGATCTCATCCCAGATGATCAAAAGTTTTTCAAGTGAAAACTCCCGTCCAAATAAAACTCGCAACCAGCGGAGAGCAAAGTACTGGGGTTCAACCCCAAGATCAACAAGATGGCTATGCAGAGATGAATCCACATGAGACAACAAATGATACAATGCAGCAGAAGCTTCAATTACAGGAGGCAAGCCAGTATGGGATCCAGGTACAGGGGAATATGAGAAGAAATCGGCCATTGCAACAGAACCATGAGCCCCATTCATTAATGCATCAAACATACAGTAAGCATCATGTTCGATAAATTTGTCTGATAAAACAACGCCCAGTTCACCTTCAGCCCCATAAGCATCACTTAACAGTACAATGGTCTGTATCTTAGGATCAAGCTCATCAATACTGTTAATTTTCATTGCATTTCCATGGGAGCCAATTTCATCCTCCGTCAAGTCTGAAGATTTTCTAAAATCAAAGCTGTAAGAAAGATCGTTCTCTTGACAAAAGAGGCCATCAAATCTGTCTGTGAAGTGATCTTCATAAAGCTTTCGAACTTCTGAAAGATGCTCAACATCAACTTGGAGTACATAAAGCACCGGAGCAAGTAATTCATGCATTCCTATAAAATGAATGAATAATGTTAGGTAAGCAATTTGCATAACATATACTGCTAAGCAAAACAAGTTATAGGGAAACTAGGAAGCCAAACTAAGGGAATTTATAATTTACCAAGTAACAGGTTTCCCAACAACTTCATCATTTAATGTTTAGTAATGAATGGATCTCACAATAAAGCAGATAAATTTTTTGATATAAGATTCACACATACAGATAATGGAGCAGTAATTAATGCAACAGTAATTACAAACTTGTTGGCATTTAAGAATATATGACAGAAGTAGTACCTAAAGCCCATTGCTAATAGCCTGGAGAACATGAGATTGGCTATGAGCAAAGCATATGACGTGCCTTCTTGTGATTGGTATAGTAAAGCTTTTATTCAATTAGATGTGGATTATTCAATAAGATGTTCACTGTTAAATGTAAAAGGTTGGAAGGAAAAATAAGACACCTAACATAAACGAGACAGCTTCCTTAAAATAAAGATGAGTGCACCAAAGTTACTTGTTGTTAGAGAAATATAAAATAAAACCATTAATATGGCCTTCACTTAACAATTTAAACTTTTGGGTTGAATTCTTCGTGACCAAGTGATCACGAGTTCGATCCTCACCGCCCTCATTCTATTAATAAATGATTAAATATTATGGAATTTCTTAGCATAGGTAGATGAGATCTGTGCATTGTCCACCCTTCAAGCCCAATGGACTCTTACGTGAGGGAGCATGTTAAAGAAATATAATATAAAACCATTAATATGGCTTTCACTTAACAACTTAAGCTTGTGAGTTGAATTGGTTCTTTACATTTCTATTGAGTTGGATGGAAAAATAAGATAATCATCCCGTAATAAGAAAACATATTTAAGATGAAGGTAAATTCAATTAAATTCAAAGTATTGTCCAGAAATGTTGATTGGCTGAGCAATTTACCTTGCCTATAACCACACTCTGGGTGTCTCAGACACCATAATAATAAAATTCGTCTCAGTATGCCTTGGCATCCTGGTGTCTGGAAATAGCTGCCATGTTCTGGGTATAAACGTGACAAATCCTGATCAACCATCTTCTCCAGCTCAGCGTTGCGGAAAAAGCGACCCCATGTACTGTCTGCATATAAAGGCCAAATTATTGTCACCATGGATAAAGTTCAATGGCAAGAGAGAGAGAGAGAGAGAGAAGGGGGGGGGGGGGGTTAGATAGACTAGAATTCCAAAAGTTTGGGGGCAACACTAAGATAACATATGCAACAATTCAATTGCTTGTCTTTTATATCTGCTCCCTCTTTAGCTCAAGCATTTCTTGATTGCCATTAAAACTTTGCTTAAACTTCTTGTGGGTTGAGTCAGTCACCACTAAATGAGCAGGGATCATCCCTATATTCCTCAAGGGAAAATATATATTTCCAAAACCTTAGAAAATAGCAATAGGTACATAATCTGGCAAGTGGCAACAAGTAAAAAGATACCGAAGGAAGAGGCTCTTGTTAAACCAGTCTCAGGAAAGCCGGAAGGAAATAGTGTACATTAACATTGCAGATATCTAATTTGCTCTCCACTTAGTAAATAGGTGTAACAGCCCCAAACCCTGTAGCAGGATATTGTCCGCTTTGCCCCGCGCACAAGCACCGTCGAGCTCAAGGTTTTACGTTTCAGGTTACCCCCAAAAGGCCTCTTACAAGGAAAGGTATCCACACCCTTATATAAGGCATGCTTCGTTCCCCTCTCCAACCGATGTGGGATATTACAATAGGAATATTGATTTATCTACGTGTAATATGCAGTAATGGAGAGTGAGAAAATATACTTAGATTTACCAGGATTTTGTGAAAGAGGGTTGTCCATGACAAGGTTGGGTGAACTACTTCCATCCTTTGGAATATGCGGATCAACCAGGAGGCGCCCTCTTAAACTGGCATACCTGACAAGATAATAAACAGTTCATGTTAAATAAGCAAGAAATGTCCCCCCCCCCCCCCCACAAAAAAAAAAAAAAAAATGCAACTAGTAGAACGAATATGCAATTGTTTTTAGTGAACAGTTATGAGTTATGACAGACATGAAGAAACACCTGGATCTAACAACTCATCTATCAAGATGGCAACACTATACGTGATGTGTTAATCATAAGGGAAGACAAACGCCAAATCCATAATTTATATAAACAATCCTTAAGGCCAAATGAAAAAACAGCTTAATTTTCTTTTCATTTATGCCAATGAAACAATACTTTGATATATGGTGATAATGAATGAATAGTAATACAGCTCAAATTCATATGTCACTGTCAGCATTCTCGAACGAAAATTGACAAAATTTCCTGTATTTCCGTATGATTATATCTCCATCATTTCAAAAATAGAAATAACTTTCAAGGTATCCTTCCCTTGTTATTATTGAGAGTTGAGAAACAAAAGCAAAACTACAAACAAACAAAAATAGTTATAGTGAATTTCCATGCTACAGTTATAGTGTATTTCTATGCTTTTCATCAATACCTAGGAAATAATTTCGGGCTTGGAATATTTTAATATATGCAACATTGTAATTTCGAAGGTAAAGAAAAAGGGGGGAGAAGGACAGCAACAGACAAGGTTCTTGTTATTGGCCAGAACAACTACCAACAAAGCCCTCAACTTTGCACTGAATTTGAGGAATACAATTACTCCAATATTACAAATTGGATTAAAATCCATAAAAAACTACTTCCCGTTAAACCCGACTAGCAGAGTGTACAAGCAGCCTTAACCTTGCATAATTGCAAAGAGGCTCTTTCCTGAATTCGAATCCATGACGTTTCAGTCATGAAGGAAGAATAATGAAATTTAATTCACATCCTCATCAAATCAAAAACACTAATAAGGCATGATTGTTGAGCTGACTTACCTCCTTCGATAATTAGCGGTGGCACGACGAAGATCATCAATGGAAGTTGAAGAAGAAGATGGCAAAACCCCAAGATTTATACGCCACTGCAAACCTCTAAGATCCCCGAATCGCCGACTCTCCGGCGCCGCCGATCCCTGAGAAACGGTGTCGGAGCTTAAAGACGGCACCGACGATGATTCCAGCAATGGCGGATCCATCAGAGCTGGCGGCATGATTATCTAGAATCCACAAAAAACCAGAGCTTTGCAGAAAAATTGATAAAATTTATGCAAATTTCAGAAGCACGACCCCACAAAATGAAAACAAGTTACTTGAATTTCTTTCTGGGAAAGCAAAAAAATTGAAAATTTCAGCCACACAAACACCAAATTGTTGAAGAAGAAACAGAGTTTATTGTGGGGTGTTTAGAAAGGAAAAGCGAATCGAGAGAAATGGCTGAATGAAGGGGAAGATTTTTTGGGTAACTGAATTTACGTGGCAATTTGGGCAGAGAAATGACATGATTAGGAGAGTATCATGTGATTCATGTTTCTGTTGATTCTCTGCTTCTCTATCTCTCTGTTTTTTTCTCGGAAGAGAGAGAAAAGTAAAGAGACAGAGAGAGAATAACAAGTTTGTTTGAGCACGGGAATGGAAAAGAAAAGAAAAAGAAAAAGAAAAAGAAAAGGAAAAGGAAAAGGAAAACAAGGGCAAAGCCAATGGTGTGCGTAATGGATAAATTGGATTGGAGGGTAAATTGTCATCTTCTCCAAAATTTTGCACCCATTTGAGCCATTCTAATATCTTGTGAGTGGAAATTGCCCATCTTTTTGCCACCTTCTAGTCCATACTGAAAGCTTTTATTAATCAAAAGATAATTTAATTAGTCTGATTCTGATTATTTTATTTATATATGTTGTATTTGTTTTTAGGAAAAATTTCAAAAATCCTCTACAAGTTTCTTTAAAATCACTTAAATCCCTCCTCGAAAATTTTAATCATTTATTCCCTACTTAAAATTTCTTTATCACTTATCCCTTAATTTGATTTTCCATCCAAAATTTTGTTAAGAGAGTTAAATTTTTTAAAAGGTACCAAAATTACCCTTAATAGAAAAAAGAAAAACATAATTTCCTCCAGTTTTAGACAAATTCACGTACACAAGACATGAATGTAAATCAATGATTGAATTCTCTTCTACTCTCAACAATACAAAAAACAACAAAATAGCACCTTTAAGGGAAAAGCAAGGCATATATGAAGCTAAGAATGTAAAGCTTTTGAGTTGTTGTGTAAGCAAAATAAAGTGTGGCTCTGAATAAATTTATAAAGTCAAATTTGATGGTCATGTAATAGCAGAAAAGCTTATAACAGAAAACAAAAGATCTAAACCTGTTGAGATGATGCCTCTTTAATCATTTTATTTGAACAACGACACCAACAATTGTGAGTGCGATGTTTAATAGCAATGAGATTTGCAGGAAACAATTTTGATAATTACTAATTCTAACAAGGCTACCTTAAATAAAACATTCCGTGAGTTCAACTAAAATTGTGTTTGTGTATTTACAAAAAAAAAAAAAAAATTGTGTTTGTGAGGAAATTATGTTTTTCTTTTTTCTATTAAGGGTAATTTTGGTTTTTTTTAAAAAATTAACTCTGTTGACAAAATTTTGGATGGAAAATAATATTAAGGGGGTAAGTGATAAAAAAAATTTAAGTAGGGAGGTAAATGATTAAAAATTTCGGGGAAGAGATTAAGTGATTTTGAGAAAACTTGTAGGATTTTTTGAAGTTTTCCCTTGTTTCTATATAGGAAAAGAAATGTATATATATTTGTTGATATTTAGGGGATGTATTGGATTGGATTTTAAACGATTTTAATGAATTATTTTTGAACAAAAAAAAATTTCTTGGTATTCAATTAGGATTTTAAAGGATTGAAAAAAGTCATCTGATATTCGTTTAGAATTTTAAAAATTATATTAGATTTTACTGGTTGAGAAAATTATATTAGGTATTACTCTTTGTCCTTTCTTTTCTTATTATCTAAAATTGTTTTAATTATTGACAAATATCATTAGCTTATTCAGTTCTTTTTTTCTTGGTTGATTGAACTATTTAACGTTGGTTTGATTTACTCATTTGAATAAATCTGTTTTTAAATTGTGTTGATATTAGTCTCATTTAAAATTAGCTCTCCATAATTTATTATTGTAAATGGGGGATTCACAACAAGGAAATAAGAAAAGATATGACAAAGAGAAAGAGATAATTTTAGATATGTGGAAAGTTATTACTTAATAATTTTAAATATTTGTTAAAAATTATATTAAGTTTTACTGATTTGAGAAAATTATATTATATCATTGCATTTCTTTGTTATTTTTTTATTAACTCTTGTAATTTTGAATGTTTGTTAAAAATTCATATGTTTTTTTTTAAATCTTATAAATTCATATTGTCCTTTCAAATCTTATAAATTCTATTAAAATCCTTTAAAATTCAATATTATGAAATCTTGATAGTAAAAAAAGTCTTTAAAATCTCTCAAATTAAAAATAATCTTTTAAAATCTATAAGATTTTGTATATCAAAAAAATCTTTTAACACACTAATCTACTATACACCCCCTTAGAATTGTATAATTATGAGTGTTTTGAATTAAAATTTATTTTTATAATAATCGTCTCCTGAATGGTTTCAAGGGGAAAAAATTTCATCTTGATAAATGATAAATTAAAGGACATTATAGTAGTATTTCCTTTTATGAAAATTTTTATTTTCAAACTATTGTCATTTTATGATTTATCATTTGATTCTCTTGTGATTATAAACTTATCACTTAGAATAATTGTGCTTAAATAATTTATCATCTAATCTTTTATTGCTTCATATTTTCACTTACACTCTTTGTGGTTACGAAAATATATCACTTAGATCTATTGTGGTCTTATAAACAAAAATATTTACTTTTCTTAATTTTATTTTATATAATTACGATATTATCAAAAAAAATTATAATAAAATATTAAATTAAAAAATTAAAAAATATTTCATGTTATTTATTTTGAAATTAGTTTATTAATATCTTATTTCGTTTATTTAAAAAATATATTTTAAACTTAAAAAACTATTATTTAAGATAAATTAAATATATATTATCAAAATAAGATTTTTACTTTCTTTAAATAATTTTGTAACGATATTGGGTAAAAAATAGATAAAATAAAAAAATATTTGAATTTAATCTAATTTTATGATTAAAATAAGCCATTCTTTTAAAATTTATTTTTATTTATTTTCCTTAAATGCATTAGATGAGGATATAAAATAAAAAAAGAGGATAATAAAAAAATTTGTATGTATAAAATCATAAGGATATAATTGATATTATAATTAATTAAAATTTCAATAAATAATTTATATTTTTTGGTAATTAATTTATAGTATGATAATAATATAAGATAAAAGTTAAGAAAAATAAAAAAATTGATATATATATATATATATATATATATATATATATATATATATATATATAAGTTTACAAGGAATCTAAGTGATATATTTTTATACTCTCAATAAATTTAAGTTTAAATTTAAAACTACGTGAGATTAAATAATAAATTATTATATTACCAAAAAATAATAAATTATTTAAATACAATAAACTTAAATAACAAATTTAAAATCATATGATCAAATGATAATTTTTATAACCTCAATAAATTTAAGTTAAAATTTAAAACCACGTGAAATTAAATAATAAATTATTTAAATACATAAACCTAAATAACAAATTTAAAATCATATGATCAAATGATAAATAAAAAGACAACGTGAAAATGAAGTTTTCTCTTTATTTTATTGTCATGAATCATGATTCGTATCCTTACATATCTGACATGACGGATACGTGTCTATCTATTACCAATATTTTGTTTGCACATTTTGGAAAGGAGAACATTGCTTACCACAAAGTAATGTTCATGATGACTCGGCATTATCTTTTAAAATTTAATGATTTCGTACAAGAAAGTTACATGTCAACTATAGCCGAATCATGGCCATTCATTTCCAAAGCTGGTTGATCTACTATTAATCCGACGGCTATTGTTTCCAATAATACGTAGTGGTGACTTCTCTAGAATAATTAGCAGGATGAAGATTAGCTCAAGTGCAATTAATTAAAAAAAAAAAGGTGGTCAAACATAAAACAACTATTATTTTATATGCAAATAATGCATGTACTATCCGTTGAGGATGACCTGACCTCGATTTTATCATGCCCTCTTAAGCCGTATGAAATCCGTTGTAAAAAAGAAGCAGCCAAATCTAAATATTTTAATGCATGATGTACTCTAAACGACAATGTTGAGTAATTAGCATCTATAATGTGGATATATTTGCTTATACTATGGTCAAACATATACTATATTAGTTTGTGTGTGGTGAGCAAAAACTTTACCTTCTTTTAAATTTTATATGCTGATGAAAAGAAAACAAGAGCGTAGTATCTAATTTTATAGAAGTATAAGAGTTGGATGTACGAAAATCAAGGGATGAGATAAGGAGTAAGACTTATAAATCTTACTATATAGTCAAATGATCTCTCTCCTAATATATATATATATATATATATATATATATATATATATATATATATATATATATATATAAGGTTTTATAAGAGTTATGTTGTAGGAAAGGTGATTGTGTAATGTTATAGAGATTCGTTTTGCGTGCCGTAAATTTTTCTTTTTAAAAGTGTGGGCCCCACAAAATATTGTGTGTGTAGAAAACTTGTTTGTGTCATGTTAAATGATAAATGCAAAACCCATATATATATATAAGCTTTAATATTTTTACATTCACTCCTAAAATGACATCATTTTGAGTTGAAAGATTAAAAAATTATAATGAGAAATACTATTATAATCTTAAAATAAATTATAAATACAAAAGTATTTTGATTTTCGCCTTAAAATAGATAACTTATCCATATTGACTGCAGAAAAATGAACTTTTATATATATATATATATATATATATATATATATATATATATATATATAGGAAAAACTATTTCTGTCGCTGCGGCAAAAATAATTTGTCTGCCAGAGACACATAAATAACAAGATATGACGTCGGATCTTGGTAAAAAAATTTAAAAAATAAAATAATGGGTCTCGTTTTGTGTATATGAGGCAGACACTGCTTTTCTGCCGCCGAAAAAATGGGATATATATATTCGAAGAATCATAATCATATAAAGTTGGTCAAAGTGTTAAATGCGGGAAATCATAATCAATCAATGTGTAAGATTTATTGTTGGATGTCCAACAACCAGAGAAATGATTATATATATATACACGATTAGTGTTTCTTATGTTGTAGGAGATAAAAGTATTTCCTACACACACATAAAAGTGTGTAGGATCCATGTAAGAAGAAGAGAGAAAAAGAAACATGGGCTCCATATACTTTTTGTGTATAACATAAGAAACATTAATACCTATATATATATATATATATATATATATATATATATAGATATACATACAGGGGCGGGATATTCTTACACCAGTGTAAGAGTTAGAAGTCTTACACTCAATCTTGATCACTAATCACTTGTATCCAATGGCTCACATTACTAAAAAAGTAGAGCCCTTAGATATAAGTGGATCAACAGTCAAGATTACGAGTGTAACTTACACTGGTATAAAATGATCCTGACACACACACACACACATATATATATATATATATATATATATATCTTACTCTCAATCTTAACTGTTGATTTTGGTTCATCTAACGGTTATAGTTTAGAAAATTATACTAATTAATTAATTATTCATTACACTATTAATGATAACCGTTGACTTCCGTTGATCCTCCCTATATATATATATATATATATATATATATATATATATATATATATATATATATATATGGGTTTATCGTTTCTCAAGCTGCTTGAGATAATGTTATCTCCGACTACTAAATCATAACCGTACAAAGATGGATCAACGGTGATAAAGGAAGAAAGAGAAAAAGAGAATCATAATCATTCAAAGGTGAATCGATTAATATAAGGAAATAAATAAACAAAACGACGTAGTTTTGAGGTGGCCGAAAATAAACTTATCTCAAGCAGCTTGAGAAATGTTTTTCCCTATATTATATATATATATATATATATATATATATATATATATATTACATTGGTCGAATTAGTATCGGATTATATTAATTGGAAGATCAAGTTGTTTAAAGAGTTACGTGTAAGCTTTTTAATATTCCACCACCCCAACTTAGAGCATGTTTAACACTTTTTTTTTTTCTATGCTAAAATTACTTTTAAGCTAAAGTAAAAAAAAAACACTTAAAAAGTAAAGTTAAAGGTTATTTAATGATTATATAAAATTGTTTTGATAATTAATAAGAATAAAAAGATCATATCGATATAAAAATAAACAGTCTTATATCTATTTTTAGTTATTGATTCATATAATTAATAAATTAAAGTTGTTAAATATAAATAAAATCAATAATCAAAATTAAAAATATAACTTAACACTAATCCATTCTTATATAAATAACTGAGTGAATGCTTTGCCATCTCCAATGAATCCATGCGCTCGCTAGCTGGGTGTGACCCTCCTTATCACAATTTGTTAAAGTTGTACCTGTTTATTGGATAGTAAATCTTGTTCAATGGTTTTGGGGTTGAAAACTACGAAAAATAGATGTACCAAAAAAAAAAAAAAACTACGAAAAAATAGTTAAAACCGTACCATTCAAATTAATCCCGGATGTTTCAGTTCTGGTGGAAACAACCATATGATCTTTCTCATTACCAAATAAGACAATAAAACCTTCATGTCGAATCCCTTTCATTACCAAATTCCTTGCTTGGATAATTATTATGAAATAGATAGAGAGAGAGAGAGAAAAAAAAATTATCATGCAAATTTGACATTGAAATATTTTAAAAACAAAGGAAGTAACCAAAAATCTCTGTAATAGAGACAGATTTTCTGTTCCGTAGTTATTTCTTCTCTTTCACACACAACTAAGAAGAGAAAAGGAAATTGTTTTTTCAGTTTCCTAAATCTGATTGAATAATGAATTGCCAATTAATACATTTGGATGTAGGTTTTAACTGGTTCTATATGTAAAGTGGAATGACTTTTGAAGAAAGGACTATGAAATATCATAAGAGAAAACTGTATTTAACAGGCCCGTTCAATGTTCCAAGTATGTTTTTAATCTCTTCAATCCTTAAATTTGAAAAATCCTCTATTGTGAATTTTTCATAATTTCCTTTCACTTCAACCAGGCTATACCCTGGCTCTTTCCTTAATCCACTACCCTTCAGCATTTTTCTTGCATTTGTAACATCATTCCACATCCCATCTGAAGCATACAAATTTGATAATAAAACATAAGGTGAAGTAGTAACAGGTTGAACTTCAAGAAGCTGCTTAGCCAGGCGTTCCCCTATGACCATGTTCCCATGCAGCCGACATGCTGAAAGCATGCTTCCTAAAACAACAGGATCGTTCCAATGATGGAATTTCTTCATGTACTCTTCTGCCTCACATAATCTTCCAGCCCTTCCAAGCATATCAACAAGACATGAGAAATGTTCGATATTAGGAGCAATCCCATAAGCTTCTTCCATGGAATTAAAGTATAACTCGCCCTCTCTCACTAACCCTGAATGGTTACAAGCAATTAAAAGCCCAGTAAATGTAACTGAATCTGGTTTTACCCTTGTTGCTTTCATCTGCTCAAAAATTTCCATTGCTCTCTCACCTAGGCCATGATTTCCAAAGGCAGCAATCATAGTGTTCCATGAGACAAGGTTGTGACAGGACATTTTATTGAATACATTATGTGCGTAACGAATTGAACCACATTTAGCATACATGTTCACTAGAGCATTATAAACTCCTACATCTCGATATAGTCTTGTTCTAAATAGATAAGCATGAATTTGCTTCCCATGGCGAATAGAAGCATGCCAAGAGCAGGCAGCAAGAATGCTAGCAAAAGTGAAATCATCTGGCCTTATACTACATTCATTCACCATCTCTTTGAAAAACCTCAAACTTTTTTCTTGATCATCAAAATGGGAAAAAGCAGATATTAGAGTATTCCAGGAAATGACATCTTTTTCTTTGATCAATCTGAAGGCCCTCTCCACTTCTTCTATGGAATTAGACTTTGCATACATTGTCATTATCACATTTCCAATAAGAGGGGTGGAGTCCAGTTCAAGTTTAATAGCTTGGCAATGCAAAGACATCCCTGTTCTCAAATCATCTGACTTGGTGCAAAACCCCAGCAACCCCACAAAGCTAAAACGATCAGGAACAAAACCCTGTTGGAGCATGAGCTTGAACACTTCAAACCCCTTCTCAGGTTCATAATTCTCTATAAACCCTTTGATCAGAGCATTATAGGAAACAGAATTCGGTCTTACTGAATTGGCATACACTGACAAAGCATCACTACAGTGACCACATTTCATATACATGGAGATAAGCGAGTTGGAAACAAATGAAACGGATGCATACCCAGATATCAGAGACCGAGCATGAATCTGTTGCCCCAGCTCCAGTGCTGCGAGGCTCGCACTGGCACTGAGGGCACTGGCAAAGATATACTCATTGGGGAGGAGTTGCATTTGAGAAAACAAGTGGAGCGCCATCCAATGCTCCCCACATTGATCATAACCAGATATCATAGCTGACCATGACACGGCATTACGATGAGACATTTCATCAAACACCCTGCGGGCGAGAAGGACGTGACCACACTTAGCGTACTTGTTAAGGACTTGGTTTGAGATGAAAACATGGGATTGCAACCCTTTCTTCAAGACAGCAGCGTGAAGGCAAAAAGCCTTCTTTATGGGGCACTGCTTCAAAAGGGTCCCAATGGTTTTCATTGTAGAATGGATATTCAGTATACTACACAAAATGTATAGTGGAAATTTTGGAAAGAAAATCATTGTTAGCAATTTTCATCAACATTGTATATTTCTTGTTTAAGTTACCTAATAACAATAAGCCTCTATTTTTAAGTTACCTAATTTAATTTTGCTCTCTTAAATTGATCTCTTGCGCATATTCATACATCAATCATCTTGTTTTCAATTACGTTTGCTACAACAAATTTTACTCCTTAATACAGGAACATCAAAAACAAAACAAAACCATAACTCCCATGTCACAACACAATCATGTGTGAAACAACGCCATGTAACTCTATCCAACAAATGGGCCAAGAGGCCGATTATATAGTTTTACCTTACTTAACATGAGTTGGTTAAACCTCACCTGCTGATGGGCCTAACATTTGATTTGAGCCTGACTCAAATGAATGATTGGGCTAACACAAAGTTTCCCTTCAATGTTTTCTCAAGCAGCTCTCACTTCAGATTCAGTCCATTTTAGATGCCTTCCTAAGTGTAGAAGTTGAGAAATGTCTTTTATTTACCAAAAAGAAAGAAAGAAAGCAATGCCTTTGGGGGTAAATAAATTCAGTTCCATTCTACCAAAAAAAAGGGGCTAAATTAGACAGTTACTTGGTGTTTTCGTTGCAGCCTTTGTTTAATTTAATTTTTCATCAAACCATTTCATAAAAAGAGTATAAATTGTATTGATAAACAAATTAAGGGATAAGTTTCATATAGAGTAAAATTGTTTGTTTGTTTTTTAATTTACCCTTAAAGTTTCCCTTCTATTAATAGCCCATCATATAGTTAGCAAAACACACACCCCGTTTTGATGTTTAGCTATTCAAATTTCGCGCTTTATAGTTATGACATATGATAGAAGGCACTCATTATAGTATATTTCTTTGATATTTTCTTCGTTCATTAATCAGGGTAATTGTGATTTGATAGGTACTCATCAAGTTTACAAGTGGAGAATAACGCCAAATGATAAAAAGTGATCATAAAAGATTTTTTACTTTCTCCGTGATTCTTTCAAATTAAAATAATGAAATTCAGAGCCCACCTCACATGTTGGATGGATTATATCAGGGGAAAGAGGGAGAGGGGCGAGTAGTACTGATCAATCCCTCCCTAAATTTTAATTATTATATATTATGAAATAATATTTGTCTAATAATAATAAATTATTAATGCTAATAGTGAGTTTCTCCTTAAAAAATATTTATAAATTAATTTATCTCACTATTTTAATATTTTAATTTCGTTCCATAAAAAAACAAAAAAATTAATTCCTGATCTGCTGCTGGATTAGATATCACAACTCTTCAAGCATGGGCCAAATTAAGGTCATATTCTATGTACCAAAAAAAATAAAATAAAAAATCATATTCTTAGTAGGGACTAGCTTAGGAATGCGTTAACTATTGTTCAGTGATTCATAGGGTCAGAAAGAAAAAGGTCGATTCAGAAAATTCAATGGCTCATCCAATAGTGATAAAAAACCACTACTATTGAAAACCCTTAAAAGGGGTAAACGGGTATAAAACGTAGGGTGATTATGTGTCCTTAACTGGCATCAAAAAGTCTAGCGTCTTTTGTCACATTGACAACCACTTTGTCCCCATTTATAACAGATGAATAATGAGTGCACGTTATTTTCAACAAATCCATCACCCATGGTTGGACGTACTATTACTGATTAGAAACTGTAAAGTGTGGGGGAAACAAAGTCAGCAAGCGTTTTATCAATAACTGTGATGCCTATTTCAGTTTCCCATATTGCACTTGTATTTGTTAATCATAGTACTTTGAATTCTAATCACTAATAATAGCTTTCTGACCAGACAGCTATCATCAACGGCAACGTATCAAGTAATTTTTTTTTAAAAAAAATTCTTCCTTTTCACTTTCCTTAATTTGTTCATTAAAATTTGAAGGAATGATTCTCATCAACATATTTATGAAAATGTAAAATCACTTAAGTTGATAGGTAAAAATCAGTTAATAATATTATATTACATCTCTTTCACCTAAGAGTTTATTAAACTTAATAATGTATAGGTTTCTTTTATTTATATTAATTTCTTTTGTAATGTTTAACTATTTGTTAATAGAATGAGGCGGTGATAATCTAACTCATAATCACTTAATCACAAAACTCTTATACAAAATTATTTCAACACAAAAGTTTCAACTGATAAATAAAAATTATATCAATAATTTATATTATATCTCGTGAACTTTTTAAACAGTGATGTCCTATTTAAGGGGAAATTTTTTTTATTGCAAATTAAATACAAAAATTATGAATTTATTGTTGTTTTTATACTATTTACGATTGTATTGCAGAATGTCACGTCCGGATTGAGCGTAAGTGGTCATGCCTAAGTTAGGCGTGACCCATGAGGAACTCACGCCTAAATTAGGCGTGACTCGTCTGGTATTAACATGTGATACAAAAAGTTAACAGTTCAACCGTAAAACTCCGAAAAGCCATAACTTTTGACTCAGGTATCCAAATCAGGTATATTTTTTTATTTCACATAACTTTTTGAGATTTACGCAATGTCATCTTATTTAACATATTTTATCTCTCATAAATACAATTCGAATTTGCAACAATTGTACCACTATAAAAGTTCCACAATATAAAAGTGTGAGAGAGATTGGTGAAAATATAACGTTCTTTAAGTTGCATTAAAACATGCAAAACTTTTGATGTATTGCATTAAAACTATGTTATTATGCTGTGAAACATGCTTTGACAAGAGGATTTGAGGTGAATTATATTATTATAGACGCCGAAAAATGCATTATTATAAACATATATAGCACCTCAAACCCTCTTATCAAAGCATTTTTAGAGCATAAAGTCCACCAGAAGAATCTAGGAGTCCCATGAAAAGCCTGCAATTGGATGCCCTTTTTGGTATATTTTATATTTGTGAATAATGTTATTTAAATTTTTACTTCCCAACATTAACAAATAATTCTCCCAAATATTTCAGTATGTAGATATCAAAAAGTTATGTAGAAAAAAAAATCACTTGATTCGAACTTTCGAGCCAAAAAAATCACCTGTTAATTTTTGTTTTAAAAAGGGACCACCGGAATGGGACTACATTATATTATGGAAAAAGTGTATATCATTTTAAATGACACAAAATTGTGTCATTTTAAGTGCGAGAAAGAGATAGATCATGGGAGAGAGAGTGAGAGAAAAAGTTTTAAAGGTGTGGGTCTCACCTCTTTGTGAGAGCGAAATGACACAAGATGTGTCATTTAAAAAATTACATCCCACCCCCGCTTTCTTCCACTTCCATTGTTGTTCTCAACAAAGACAAAGAACACACACACTCTCACTGTGTCTTCGAGCCCCTATCTCTATTCAATAGATGTTTGCTTTTTGTACCTTTTTTTTATAATTTCAAGATTTTTTAAAAGATGATTGCGTTTGGTGTTGGTTCGAAAAGAACTTGGAGGCTTTTCGATTTAAACACTCTTATAATATCATTGTTGTAAATTTGAACTGTGTTTGTGAAAGATAAAATATACCAAATGAGGTGTCATTACGTATATCTCGAAAAGTTATGTGGAATCAAAAAAAAATTATCTGATTCGAATATCCGAGTCAAAAGTTATGGCCTTCCAAAGTTTTACGGTTAAACTGTTAACTTTTTGTGCCACGTATCAATACCATACGAGTCACGCCTAATTTAGGCGTGAGTGCCTCGTGAGTTATGCCTAACTTAGGCGTAACCATTTACGTCCAATCCAAGCATGATATCCTACAATAAATCCCTAAATAGTGTGAAAATCATAATTATTTATTTAAATTGCAATAAATTATCCCCCCCTCCCCCTCAGTTTCCCATATTGCACTTGTATTTGTTAATCATAGTACTTTCAATTCTAATCACTAATAATATCTTTCTTACCATACGCCTATCATCAACTGGCAACGTAGAAAGTAAAAAAAAATTAAAAAAAGTTCTTCCATTTTCCTCTCCTTTGTTCATGAAGAATCATCAACATAACTTGTTCAATCACAATATATATCATATATCATTTGATTGATTTTTTGTCTTATGTATCATGAATTATATCGAATCATAAGATAAAGAAACATAATAAAACTAATTTAAAAATATATAATATAATTAATATTATATAAATTCAAATTTCAAAAGAATAATAATAAGCAAAATACATAAGCAATTAAAGTGCAAACTAGTTATTCTCCTACTCACCAATCATCAAGATTAATATTATCACTATCATCATTTACGAATGATTTTTCGACTTCATAAGGCTAAAGCAAAGTCGATAATGATATTTTGAAAAGACACTTTTTTGCTTTTTGTTTACGCAACCTTTTGTTGCTTCAATTTGAATTAGTTTTTTAATTGATAATCTTTTTTTTGAAAATTGAAGAAATTTATAATATTTATTTAATTATTTCATTTATTAATAAATATTTTTCATATTGATTTTTGAATTTAAATCACAAATCAAATCTTTATTTTTTCTATATTAAAAATTAAAAAATTTGATTTAATTTTTGTATCGTATCATATCATACAATACAATATTGTATTGTCCGATACACCCCCTCGATATGTATCACTGAATTTGTGAATCGCATCGTACAATACACTCATAACTATAATCAACACATTTATAATAATGTAAAAATAGCTTAAGTTGATAGGTGAAAGTTATGTTATAGTTTTATATTATATCTCTTTCACACAAGCGTTCATCGAATTTAAAGGATGGACAATGCATAGGCTCCTCTTACCTATGCTAATTTTTTTTGAGATATTTAATTATTTATTAATAGAATGAGGTGGTGAGAATCGAACTCGTGACCACTAAATCACAAAACTCTGATACAAAACTATTTCCACCCAAAAGCTTCAGCTGATAGGTTAAAAAATTACATCAATAATTTTATATTTTTTGGGATACAATGATGACACTGAGGT